CACTCACCTCATCCTAGTCCTCAGCAGATCAAGAAGGCTTTCAGGGTTCCCTGACCTCCATCCTAAGGACCATTAGGCAGAAAGGCCTGGAAATGGAACCACATGGAGTTTCAGGTGGGGGAGGCTTCATTGCTGAAATGATAGTACTCAATGGATGAACAAAATGAAGCCATGTTATTGCTGGCCCCAAACAGATGGTTAAACAAACATGATAAAAGGACCTGAAAATCAATGGGATATGGGCTATTGCTACATGTCCAAGATATTGAAAAATAGGTTATTGATTTTGGTCACACCCAGTCCAAACATATCTAAATGTGGTAGAATCACGAAATTAAAGTGAATTATACTCCATAAATGGTGGTTTTGTTTATATGATGGAACTTAGGCTGTTTTGAAAATACAGATCTAGAACATGTTTCACCTATACTTTTGGGATAAAGTTTTTTTGAAAACCATCTTGATCATTTTTTATATTAACTTGGATATATTTTCTGATGTTTAAAGTTTGTTTTTAAAATGTCAGCTGGATTAATATCTATATAAAGTTCCTTGTAATAAACTAGGATCTGTTACTAAAGCTGTTTACAAGGTAATTATTTTCCTTTTAAAAGGTAAAAGGTATTGACCCTAAAGCCCATGAAAATAATGTTAAAGGAGAGAGTTAAGCAAATCTTCAAAGGTATGCATTTAATGTGTTGTTCCTTTCCTTGCTACTATCAACTAATTTTATGGGATTCTATTTGATAGGAAGTGTCTCTGTGCATGTGTCCTTTTTTATAGGAGGGCTGGGGTTTTCTCTTTCTGATATTGGCACTCAACTGATAATGAACTTGCACACTTTAAGCCAGCCCCAGGGAGCTTGAGCACAAGAGAAAAAAAAGATAGTGAAGATTTAATACTTAAATCTTAATATTTTAGTTCATCACTAAAATTTAGTATGAAGATATATGATACAGTTGGTCAGACTTGTGAAAAAATGATGAGAATTGGAATAATAGGCTCTTTAACTGTGGGAACTTGAAAACAAAATTCCTGAACCCTTGATTCTCAATTTCCTCATCGGCAAAATTAGGATAATAATACTTCCTTAATATAAATAATTTAGAAAAATTGATCAACATTGTTCCAAATTGGTCATTTACCAGGGAAGGAAGTTTTTCAAGGAACTTTGTCTATAAATCTCTTGTCTTTCACATTTCATCTTACCCTACACAATTAACTTATAATGAGGAAGTATAATCCTTCATCTTCTTTTTGCCATTATTATATATATATATGTGTGTGTGTGTGTGTGTATAAAATATATATAAAATAATTTTATATACATATATGTGTGTGTATATATATATAATTCAATAAAATAAAGATTATTTTGATGTGCAGACTGTACCTCCCTCAGCTACAGCTGCATAAATGCTGTCATGCATTCATATCTGTAGTAACAAAGCTTTCTCAATTTAGAACAATTCTGAAGGGCATCCCAGTTCCTTAGCTCCCTATTCAAATACCTGTTGTCTCTTTTGCAATTGCATTGTAGTTCAACTTCTGACTCTGCCCAATCATGCTTCCTTCATTTCCTCACAGACTGTTCCTGAGAATTCTTCATCTTCATGTAAATCAGACCAAGACTCTGTCTAAAAAAAAAAAAATAGACACAGGGAATAGAACAACACACACGGGGGCCTGTTAGGAGGTGGAGGGTAAGGAGGGAAAACATTAAGAAAAATAGCTAATGTATGCTACGCTTAATACCTAGGTAATGGGTTGATAGGTGCAGCAAACCAGCATAGCACCTATTTGCCTATGTAACAAACCTGCACATCCTGCACATGTACCCCAAAACTTAAAAGGCTGAGCATGGTGGCCTACACCTGTAATCCTACCACTGGGAGGCCGAGGCAAGGGAATTGCTTGAACCCGGGAGGTGGTGGTTGAAGTGAGCCAAGATTGCGTCATTGCACTTCAGCCTGAGCAGCAAGAGTGAAACTCAGTCTCAAATAAATAAATAAATACATAAAATAAAAAATTTAAAAAGAATGTTTAAAAGGAATATATAAAACACTAGACACCCAGATGTGGTGGCTCACACCTGTAATCTCCAGCACTTTGGGAGGCTGAGGTGGGTGGATCACTTGAGGTCAGAAGTTTGAGACCAGCCTGGCCAACATGGTGAAACCCACTCTCTACTAAAAATACAAAAATTAGCCAGGTGTGATGGTGGGTGCCTGTAATCCCAGCTACTTGGGAGGCTGAAGCAGGAGAATTACTTGAACCTAGGAGGTGGAGATTGCGGTGAGCCAGGATCATGCTACTGCACTCCAGCCTGGGTGACAGAGTGCAACTGTGTCTCAAAAAAAAAAAAAAAAAAAAAAAGAAAGAAAACAAAAAAAACACTAGACACTTATATCAGAAAAAAAAAAAAAAAAGAAATCTCAAATCAATAATCCAAACTTCTGCTTCAAGACACTAGCCAAAGAAGAGCAAAATAAATACAAAATAAAGAGAAGCAAACAAATGAGAAGTGAAATAAATGAGCTTGAAAACAAAAACAATAGAGAAAATAAATAAAACCCAAAGCTAATTTTAAGTGTCCAATAAGAATGTTAAAACTCCAATGAGACAAAAAAAAAAAAAAAAAAGATGGCAAATTATCAAAATCCAGAATGGAAGAGAAGATATTACTACAGACCTCATAAACATTAAAAGGATAAGAAGGGAATACTACAAAGGACTCTGCAAATGTTAAGTTCAACAACTTGGAAGAAATGCATAAAATCCTTTAAAATTGCAAACTACCAATATGCATCCAAGATGAAAGAGATTATCTGAAAAGTCTTATAACAATTTAAAATTTTAAATTTGCAGTTTAAAAACCTCCTGACATAGAAGTCTCCAAACTCATTTTACTCAACATTTAAAGAAATGACACCAGTTCTACATAATCTGTTCCAGAAAACAGAGAAGGAAGAAACACTTATTAACCCATTTATGAGACCAGCATTAATATGAAGCTTCGTACAAAACTGAGAACATAAGTAGACTAAAGAGCTTTCGTCTTTATCCTAAGAACAGTAAGAAGCAAATTTAGGATTACTAGAGTCAAAGTCTAGATAAAACTCCTGACTGAAAATGAAGCAGGAATAATAACAAACACTTACGTTGTTCCTTTCTCTGGCTTGTCTGTTTTTTGTTTTGTTTTATTTTGTTTTTTAAAGACAATCTTGCTCTGTTGCCCAGGCTGGAGTGCAGTGCAGTGGCATGATCTTGGCTCACTGCAACCTCTGCCTCCCGGGTTCAAGCGATTCTCATGCCTCAGCCTCCTGAGTAACTGGGACTATAGGCACCTGCCATAATGCCGGGCTAATTTTTGTATTTTTGTTGAGACAGGGTTTCGCCATGTTGCCCAGGCTGGTCTCGAACTCCTTACCTCAGGTGATTCACCTGCGTCAGCCTCCCAAAGTGCTGGGATTACAGGCATGAGCCACCATGCCCGGCCCTCTGGCTTGGCTTTCAAAAAAAAACCTCCATCACAGCTTGCCAGCTGCAAGTGAGAAATGAAGGGGGAAAACACACTAACTTCTTCAACTCTTGCACTAATTACCAAAGAAACCCACAAAAAACAGAATTTATTGTTCCGGTTTATCTTAATCTTTTGTTTTTAGAAATCCAAGTATTCTAAATCCCAGATGTCTGACTTTAAAGAGTCTGTACCAGCAGAAGTTACATTCAACATTTTGTGTGTGTGCACACAGCTTTCATCAAATTATTTTAGTCTGCAATTCCCTCACCACACTGAATGGTGGAGTATTATGTTTTTCCATGAAGTTAGAATTTAGAGCAACATCTTGCTAAATAGAAGTTACATCAATGTAAAGTGTCAAATGCCAAGTATTATTGGTATATTTTAAGAAAGACAAAACTGCATGTTCTGCACACGTACCCCAGAACTTAAAGTATGAAAAAAAGAGAAAGAAATACAAAACAATTAACATTAAAGACTTTAATTAATGTATGGTTTATAGTTAAGTTCAGATATTTTCCAACTTCTGTACCTTCTTCATATTGGAGACTGCCTATATATACCTACTATAAATGAACGGTCATAATCTTGACTGTAAATCATCGTAAAATTATGAATTTACACTTAAATTATTAAATAAAAATTGCATTGTGCCAATATAGTGTTCATCTGAATTTCAATTATTTGAAAACAGTTAACCCATGAATTGCCTATTTATGAGTTTTCTGCATTGCCTTCTCCTCAAGGATAATGTTCTGCCTAATCATCAGGAAATTCCTTATAAGCAGGAAGAACAAAACTCAGGACTGCTTTGTCTATTCTCCAAGTCCTTAGAGTTGGTTGGTTGTAGCTGATGCACGCTAAATGTGAGGCTTGGGCTCTCCTGGTCAGCACACTGGGGTCCGATTGTTACCTGTACCTCCAAGATTACCAAGGTCGGGCTCTTCCTCACTCCTTCCCTCCCTCCCTCCCTCCTTTTATTCCTTCCTCCCTCCCTCTCTCTCTCCCTCCTTTCCTTCCTTCCGTGTCTCTCTCTCTCTCTCTCTCTCTCTCTCTCTCTCTCTCTCTCTATCTCTCTCTCTCTCTCTCTGTCACACACACAGAGACACACACGTGCGCGCACACTCCGTGAAGGCACTGTCCCTCCACTAACGCACGACTCGCTCCTCACAGCGCAACTTGGATCAAAGTCTCAGACCCCTAACGGTCTATCGCATGAGGTCGCCATTCTTTGTACTTTGTCCTCTTGGCATGGGACCAGGAGTCCTCGGCTTTCCAAGCAAGACTGGTCTAGGTCGGATTGGCTGTGATAGAACGAGGGGCAGGGGTTATACCGAATCACAAGGCTAGGATTTTCCTCTCTCTCTCTCTCTCTCTCTCTCTCTCTCTCTCTCTCTCTCTCTTTCTCTCTCTCTCTCTCTTACTCTCCGCCTTCGAATCCTGGCAACAGGCGTGCTTTGTTTTTCTTAGAGGAACCTGGCCTGGGGTTGCTATGGAGACAGGACGCGGCAACTTACTGAGCAACCAGCACAAAGAAATCGCTTAAGAGACCGCGGCAAAGTAACTGAACTGAGTTGCTTTCTTCCATATTTTCACTCCTTCTTCATCCAGAACATTGCTTCTCGAACTCCTTCCATGGAAGAGCCAACATCCCCGAAGCAAGAAAAAGAAAATCAAGAACTAGGGGAAGCAAGGCGGTCTTGGGAAGTAAAGACAGCAGCTTCTCCCCAGTATTCTGAGGCTGCGTCGTTTGAGCCCTTGGAGGCTAAGCAGGGGCTAGAAACTGGACGCCAGTCCAGAAGCAGCCGTTCTTGGAGCCTCCAGTCTGGAGCCAGGACGTCTCTGGGTGGTCCCGCAGGACCAGAAACATCATCGCCTGCTCCTCTATCTCCGCAGGAGTCCTCTTCCACTCCTTCTCCCCTGGCTCCGGCCATGCAAGACCTCGCGGCACCACCTCAGTCAGACAGGACCACTAGTGTGATTTCTGAAGCTGGGACACCTTATCCTGATCCTTTGGAACAATCATCTAAAAAAAGAGAATCAACTCCTCATCACACAAGCCAATCAGAGGGAAACACCTTTCAACAGTCTCAACAATCCAAACCCCACCTGTGTGGACCAAGGGCCGTGAGCTATAACAACGCTAACCAGAAAGAGCTGAGATTTGACGTTTTTCAGGAGGAAGACTCAAACAGTGACTATGATGTACACCAGCCTGCGACAGGTGGCTCTGAAGTGGCCCCCAGCATGCTTGAGACCACCATTCAGAATGCTAAGGCTTACCTGCTGAAGACTAGCAGCAAGTCGGGCTTAAATCTGTAAGTCTTAGACAAAAGAGAAAAGTTTGGCAAAGCAAGAGGGTGTGTGAGTATCTCTGTGTGAGAGTGTGTTTCTGTGGGTGAATCAAAATATATTTGAAAAGAGTGTAGTAGTAAAAAGAGTTAATGACATAACGCTTTGGATCACATGACTCAAAACAAGTCATTAGTGGAGATTTTTATATCTTCTTTTTCTTAACCTTTTACCTTTTTTTTTTTCTTTTCTTTTTCTTCTAGCTTCTTTAAAGACCCTAGGCACACAAAAAGTAAAATTTAGGAATCATGGAGTCTCAGGCTTGAAAGAGACCATGAAGACCATAAAGTCCCAGCATCTCTTCAGAATGCTTGTGAAAAATAATTGTCTACCAGTGAAAGCAATCACATGTCTCTAATCTGTAGATTCTAGTGCTTGCATGGCTTTTGAGTTCCCAACCCAGCCAGTGATAGGCTGACCACCATCTCAGTTAGGCTGAGCACTGAAAGTTCTTTTTGCTAAGAAACCCCTTAGTCCTCGCAAACTGGGAGAACTGGTCACTACACAAGCCACCTGGACCACATGCCATTTTATCCAAGTCTCTTAAAATGTGATGATCAATAGTCTATGTATGTTCTGCCCATCCCATTATAGCTTTAATTTTAGAACTTGTGGCAAGTATAGATTTCTATAGATTTTTGCTTCCAGAGTTAATCATAGGGTCAATAGAATTTTAGGGCTAGAAGGGATTTTGGAAATAATCTAATACAACTCATTTGTTTTTTTAAATGAGGAGACCAAGTCATGGAGAACCTAATTTGCTCAAGATTCCTGTGGCTCACAACACTTACCGACTCTTACCTCTCCCTCCAGAACTAAGATCCAGCCCCATGGCTGTTCCCTCTGCCCAGAAGGTTTCTTTTGTAAGTCTTTGCCTGGCTGGCTCCTCATTCTTCAGAACTCAACTTCCACAGAACACTACTAAAAAGCTTATTCTTTTCCTTCATAGCATTTAATGGCATTTATAAGTTTGTATACAGAGAGATAGATAGATAGACTTGTATTTTATTATCTGACTCTCCCACTAGACTGCAGGCCCCCGGAGAGTAGGGACTCTGAATTTTGTATACTACTGTATACTTAGTGCCTACCACAATACTAGCAACTATTAATTGAGTAAGAATAAATTAATGCTTTTTCTATTCTCTTAATCTACAACAATCAACATGGAAGACATTTTTGTTGTTGGTGGTGGTGATTTTGTCTTTGTTTTGAGATGGAGTCTGTTCTGTCGCCCAGGCTGGAGTGTAGTGGCATGATCTCGGCTCACTGCAGCCTCTGCCTCCCAGGTTCAAGGGATTCTCCTATCTCAGCCTCCCAAGTAACTGGGATTACAGGTGTGAGCCACCACGCCTAGCCTCCATACAGAAGACTTCTGTGATAAAATGTTTGGGGTTCTGTTTTCCCATCCACAAGGAAGCTATCACTTCTGCAGTGGGCACCAACTAGGTGTTCTCCAATTCAGTTCCAACATATCCACCTTGAGATAGCATTAGATCACACAGGTTGAGGGCTCAATTCCACAAGACTGCCCCACACTTCCAATGCCAATCATAAGCACCAGGCTGATTAACCTGTGCTTCTCACCGACCAGCTATAAATTAGGGATCCCATAGCTCCCTCCTTGGGTTTAATTTGCTGGAGTGGCTCACAGAACTCAGGGAAACACTAACATTTACTGTTTATTATAAAGGATATTACAAAGGTTACATATGAAGAGGTATACAGAGCAGGATATTGGGGAAGGAGTGCAAAGCTTCCGTGCCCTCTCTGGGAAGGCCACCCTCCAGCAACCTCCATGTGTTCAGCTATCCAGATGCTCCCTGAAACCTGTTTTCTTGGGCTTTTTATGGAGATGTTATTGGATAGGCATGATTGATGACTGTGTAGAAATGTGACTTACAGGGGTATAATCTAATGCTAATAGACCGAGTGGGGAAACTCAGCAAGGCCAATCCAGATTTTCTTGGCATCTCTGTGGAACATTCTTTCCTCCTTGATATGGGGCAGGACCTCTTTTGAAATTGGGGTCTTATGACCTTCAATCAGACAAAGTAGCTCAGAGAATTTCATTATGGCCAGGCATGGAAAAATGATTTGAGTATAGTTTTAGTTTCTAAGGCCTATGTTGGGGAGAAATGAAAAGAGGTATGGGACTTATGAGTCAGAAACTGTGGATGAAAACCAGTTTATATAAATTGTAATTCCCAAGTCCTCACCATAATCTATTGGGGTGCTTCCTGATTAATCAGTAAATATTAATTAAATGCCTACTGAATATACAATGTGGCAAATATTTGCAGCTACTATAAGGCTTTAAGATATGTGAAATATAATTTTAAAGTCTAATGAATAAAAAAATGATGTGAGAAATCTCATGAAATCTGAGAGCAGTTTGAAATATTATTAGTTAATATTTTAAACTACAATTTTTCTAAGTTTCAAGAATGTAATTTGCTACCCAGTAGTAGACTCTACTTGAATTTCTGGTATAAACTTCTTGTCATAATGCCCTGTGTTAGATAAGAAGCATGAATTTACAAACTGTTAAAATTGCAAAGGAACATATTACAAATACTTGTGAGTTCACTAACAATTTAAAACTGAATGCAAAAGCATGATAAATTTTTTATTGAATTATTTTACAATTAATATTACTTAAATATCTAAATATAATTTTATTTCCAAATGATGTCTCTGAGGTAATAAGCGAATATCTTCCTAATATTCACTGTTATCCTCTAAGTACTTTAGTGCCTGAAGTTTAAAATTCCTTAGTAAAGGATGATTTTAACTCCATTTCTTATATGCAGACCTGATTTGACAGCCAAAAAAGCTGTTTTTCATGGCAGTTAAAACAATCTTTGACTGAAATATGGAATCTGAAAATGGTTGTTCATCATTGAACTAAAAGGTTATAGGAAAGAATTGCCTCCTCCTTTTCTTCCACTCTAAAAAATAAATTATTAATCATCCCTAATAGAAAAAACTATAATTATAAATTAAAACCTAATAAACATATTTCATAATTTCAAACAAAGGCATTTTCAGGTGTGTACTTGAAGAAAACACGTATATATGTTATATTGAAACCTGAAAAATAAAATGAAAATTTGTACTTAGAGTCCCTGATTTGATACCATCCACGGCCACTTTTGAAGCAAATCAAACCCTTTCATTATTAACCCAGCTACTGCCTGATAACCAGTAGTGTTTTTAGTCTGGAGTCTTCTCCATGAGTTTTCCTTTTCTTTTCTTTTTGAGATCGAGTCTCGCTTTGTCACCCATGCTAAAGTGCAGTGGCACTATCTCTGCTCACTGCAACCTCTGCCTCCTGGGTTCAAGTGATTCTCAAGTAGCTGGGATTTTACAGGTCCCTGCCACCACACCTGGTTAATTTTTTTTTTTTTTAGAGACGGAGTTTCACCATGTTGGCCAGGCTGGTCTCACTCCTGACCTCAGGTGGTCCGCCAACCTCAGCCTCCCAAAGTGCTGGGATTAAAGGCATGAGCCACTGCGCCCGGCCTTCTCCATGAGTTTCAACAGTGCATGAATATTAAGGATGTTTGATAAGTTTTAAAGAAACTCCTAGTCAAAACATTTCTGTTCATTTAAAAGAATTATTTGAGGAAGGAATTATATATTCTTCAAATACTGTATAATATTTTAACTGCCCTTTACGTTGATTTCCCGTATCATCAACATATTTGTTTTGCCATTTCTGAGGTTGTTAGATAAATATAGACATTAAATGAAAAAGTGAAAACAAAAAAATACAGCTTAGGTCAATTAATTGAAAGTAGGCAATTATTGAACATCTATTTATTTGTTTCACCATAATAAGAGAGGGGATATATGAAGCACTAACTAATCTTGGCTGTGAAGAACCTAATGCAGTTGCTGAATATGAAATATATGATGTATAAAATTTCAGAGCAGCATATCAGTGTTCTCAGAAAAAACACCTTTGAACTGAGGAAGGATTATTTTGGGAAATGATTTGAATGCTAAGTCCCTAAGAATGAAAGGAGTTTTAAATTATTTTTTTGAGAGAAATTATATATATGCTTCGCAGCAAGCAAAAGCTCCCAGGTAGAACTTAGTAAATGTGTGAAAGTAATTTTTATTAGGAAGTCTAATTGAACTAATAATTAGAAACAAAATTGGAGAGATAACGATGTGTATCCACCAGAGAAGCAATTTATGCAAATTTCCACATTGAACAGAGGAGTTTCTCCTTAAGAAAAGAGCATTTTGACAGGACACAGGAGCACTCTGACGGGCATTTTGGCCTCTTAAATAGTAAATTCACTTTGTAATTTTGGTACCTGAAAAATTAAACACTAGCAATTATATGTAAAATGTAATGAATTACTGAGAGGATAGAGGCAATTTCATTAATTCACTTGTGAAATAAAAAGCTAGGGCAGTGTTTCCAATAGAATAGAACAAAACATTAGAGTGTGTCCCATTTCAATATAGGTAAGTAATATTTAATAGCACTTTTTTGTTGTGTGTAAGTGGATGTTACAATATGAAATGCAAGATGATCTGAGAAACACTGAAGTAGACAACTGTCTTTAAAAATAGAATGGAAAGGAAGAAAACAGATCTTAAAGACAGAATCAACAGGATTAGAAATCAAATTGGATTTGGTGAAGGCAGGGGAAGGGGAATGGAAAAGAAGTTACTGTATAAGGGTGAAAAATAATGTTAATCACTTTAAAATATATAAACAAAAGATTGTAATTTCAGAAATAAAATGTGAAAATGTACCAGATAGGGAATATGTATTGTGCTCTAAAATGTTTTTCTTTAATATCTTAAACATCCTTATCATACTGGAATTACTTCCTAAGAAAAACTCCAGGATAGGTTATTTCTGGCATAGTAGAAATTACCTAAGTGTTTAATCTCTGAAATCTCTGAAGACTTCAAGCTATTGAAGTTCCCTAAAAACAAACTAACTGAGTCTGCATAAAATGCTTCTTCAAATGCTCTTGACATGTATATTATCTGGAATTTTCTCTGTTTTGATAGATATGATCATCTTTCTAATATGTTAACCAAGATATTAGATGAGCGTCCTGAAAATGCTGTTGACATCATTGAAAATATTAGCCAAGATGTGAAGATGGCACATTTTAGTAAAAAATTTGATGCACTCCAAAATGAGAATGAGATGCTTCCAACATATGAAATAGCAGAAAAGCAAAAGGCTCTTTTTCTCCAGGTACATTTGGAAGGAGTTGACCAAGAATTAGAAGATGAAATAGTAAGTCACTACTGTAAATTTTAATAATTAAATGTTAGGACTCTATTTGGGACAAATGGCTGTGGCTTTAAATCTATACAAATTTATGCCAACTGTAATTTATAGCTTTTTTTTTTTTTTTTTTTTTTGAGACAGACACCCAGGCTGGAGTGTGATGGTGTGATCTTGGCTTGCTGCAGCCTCTGCCTCTCAGGGTCAAGCGATTCTCCTGTCTCAGCCTCCTGAGTAGTTGAGACTTCAGGCAGGCACCACCATGCCCAGCTAATTTTTGTAGTTTTAGTAGAGATGAGGTTTTGCCATATTGGCCAGGCTAGTCTCAAACTCCTGACCTCAAGTGATCCACCTGCCTTGGCCTCCCAAAGTGTTGGGATTTCCAAACATAAGCCACTGCACTTGGCCCTTATAGCTTCTTACATAGTATTCATATCTTATTTAAAAAAATATATCTTCAAGACTTTTAAACAACCACATTTCATACTACTCATTTCCTTGATTAGGGATGTCTTGTATTTTCATACATCTTTTAGTATTTTACAAGCTCTAACAGATTGTTATATGTTTGTATGCTAAGCTTCTTAAGATTAGAGAAAAACATTTCTTCACATTTTATATTCTCCAAGGTGCCTGGTAAAGGTCTGGATGATAGTTATTTTTTATGAAACATTTTTTGAATCATGAATAAATGTTAGATTAAAAAAATCAGATTTTAAATCAAGCTGCATATTTTCCCCTTTATTAGAAAATTTAGAAGTACTTCTAATGTCTTTTGTATTTTCTTCTAAGACAAGCTCCTCATATTATGACTTGATATTATGTGTATTATGTCAGTGGGACATCATACAAGAGGAGAGGAGTAAAATACTTTTAATCTTCATAGACAAAATGTTGAAAACATTTAGAGAAAAAGTTGGTGACAGAGGGGAAAAAAGCTGTAATTAGAGAATAGAATCTTGTACCTCACGGAAATTTTAACTCTAAATATTTCAAAATAGTATTGACTATTCTGTTTCCTAAGTACTCATATACTTGTAATTTATACACATCTGCTGAACTTATGTTCTGTTACCACTAGATTTAAGATGTGTCTATATACTTTCAAATTTGATGTTTGAAGTAAGGTATTTTCAAAACAGCTTTCTGACAGGGAAAAGATAAGAGAGACAGTAGATGCTCTCTCTAGGCTAAGCAGCCTATGAGGAGAGACCCAATTGATGCAGTGAGATCCACAGTACTCATACGGAAGGAACAGGTGATCGAGGAGTTGACATCAGACAGTTTCAACAAGGTGGCAGTTGGTTATGTTGCCATATCCAGTGATGAGGAGTCTGGGAGCAAACAGCATATGGAGATGAGGCAAATAGGCAGGCATTCCCCTGCAGGAGTTAGTCAAAGAAAGTTCAGACTCCAGGGTAAGAATGGGTGCTCTTTATAGGCACAGCATTACAAGGCAGGGCTTTACACCCCAAAACTAGGATATGGGGTAAGAATACAAATAAGCTGTTTTGATCCTGGGACCTGGGCCCTTTAATTAGATTCCGTAAGTCTTCCTAGTAAGGGATAAGATTGGCTTTAGAGCCTGGAACAGCTGAGTCATCAGGTGAAGATTAAAAGCTCCACCTCAGAAAGTAGAAAGATGCAGGAAGAGGTAGAGAGGTCTCTGAAGCATTGAAATATGAGTTATATGACCAGTCTGTCTCTGACTTACATGTTTAGAGTGTTCATGTTTTTATTCCTGCCTTTGACCACACCAGAATTCATTTGCTTAGTCTTCAGCATTCATTTATTCATTACCCATTTATTCATACACATTGTGACTACTGTATACCAAGTACTGAGATATACATGTGAAAAAGACTTTTCTGACTTTAAGTTGCTTACAGTTTAGAGAAAGGCAAAAAAAGACTGGAAAGCCATTTGACTAGTGCAGGCATCCCCAAACTTTTTACACAGGGGGCCAGTTCACTGTCCCTCAGACCGTTGGGGGGCCACCATATACTGTGCTCCTCTCACTGACCACCAATGAAAGAGGTGCGCCTTCCTGAAGTGCAGCAGGGGGCCGGATAAATGGCCTCAGGGAGCTGCATGTGGCTCACAGGCCGTATGTAGTTTGGGGATGCCTGGACTAGTGCAATAAAGAGATAGCCTCATATGATGGAGTAAACATGGTCTTTGGAGGTAGCCAGATCTGAATTAGAATCCTAGTTCAACTAGCTTACTAGTTGTGTGATTTTGAGCAAGAGGCGAAACTTTTCAAGCCTTAAGGATAATCAAATGGCAAAAACCTGAGGAGTAGAGGTAGTATATGTAAAGGATTTGGCCTATAATAGGAATTTAATAGTAGCAATTATTATTACATTGTTTTGACAACATGATAAATGACAATGGAACAACTAACTCTGCTATTGGTAACTGGGCAAGGCATTTTAGTGGAGGCAATATTTCATTTGGGCTGTGAAGGATAAGCAGGAGTTCACTAGGTGAAGTCTCTTAGAAATTAAATTTTTGGAAAAGTGGAGTGTGGATTGAGGGAGTGAATGATGGAAATGAAGCATAGTGCTTAAAGCCAGACTGTACTTTGTACATTGATAAATAATTTCTTTCTTGTAAACAGTGTGAAGTTTTTTAATAGAGGAGAATAGCATAGTCTAACTTTTGGTTTGGAAAGATAACTCTGATCATAACATGAAAAATAACCAAAAAAAAAGAGCCGGGTGCGGTGGCTCACGCCTGTAATCCCAGCATTTTGGGAGGCTGAGGTGGGTGGATCATCTGCAATCAGAAGTTCGAGACCAGCCTGGCCAACATGGTAAAACCCCATCTTTTTTTTTTTTCTTTGACTTATAAAGAAAAGAGGTTTATTTTGACTCACAGTTCTACAGACTGTACAAGAAGCATAGAGCTGGCATCTGCTTCTAGTGAGGGTCTCAGGAAGCTGACACTCAACGGCAGAAGGCGAAGAGGGAGTAGGCGTGTCAAATAAGAGAGGGAACAGGAGAGATGGGGAAAATCTCAGACTTTTTAACAACCAGATCTTGTGTGAACCCATTACTTCAGGAATCCCTCCCATTCGTGAGGGATGCACCCCTAAAAACCCCATCTTTTGAAAAAAAATAGAGAGGCCAGGCACGGTGGCTCACGCCTATAATCCCAGCACTTTGGGAGGCCGAGACGGGTGGATCACGAGGTCAAGAGATCGAGACCATACTGGTCAACATGGTGAAACCCCATCTCTACTAAAAATACAAAAAATTAGCTGGGCATGGCGGCGTGTGCCTGTAATCCCAGCTACTCGGGAGGCTGAGGCAGGAGAATTGCCTGAACCCAGGAGGCAGAGGTTGTGGTGAGCCGAGATCGCGCCATTGCACTCCAGCGTGGGTAACAAGAGCAAAACTCCATCTCGGAAAAAAAAAAAAAAAATAGAAAAGAAAAATATCCAAAAAAGAAAGATAGAATGGGGCAAAGAGGAGAGCATTGGAAGCTTTCTGGTGTAGCACAAGTAGTGAGGATGGTGGCTAATAGAGTATAAATGAATGTAAGAGAAGAAAATAATGCTAACACATGTTTATGTGCTAGAATCAGTAGGAATCTAACTATTTAAATATGAAAGGTCAAGGGAGTCAGAGGAAGCAAGGATGACTGAACTTTCTGGTGTGAGAAACTGAGATGTCACTGGTGAAGAATGAGTATATAGAAAAAAGAGAAAACTTTGAGAGAAATGTGAATTAAATATTAAACTGAGGTATCTGTAGAGTACTCAAGTGAAATTTCTCATAGGTGGCCAGAAATATGTGTAGAATATGGGAGAAAAGTGAGAGTTAGAGAAATTTTAAACAGCCACCTATCACTTGAAGTGATATGGAGAACTCATCCAAGCATAAAGTATTGAGTGATGCGATAACTGAAAAGGATATTTTAAAAACATCACAACATTTGGAGCTCAAGAAATAAGGAACCAATCAAGAGACTTAAGATAAAATAGTTCTAGAGGCCCAAGTAGGATCAAGAGTGAGTGGTACAGCAATGCCAAGGAAAGAGTTTTACGATCCTACATCAAAGAGATGAGGATTTTAAAAATTTTGACATTACAATTATAAATAAGAGCATATCATTTGTAAGAGTAGCAGAGCTCTCAATTTCTTCATCTTGAGGATCAAGGTTTGCCTTGCAAGTTATCCTGACCTACAGTTAAAGTTCTTTCCTACATTTTCACAAATGTTTTTCTACGGTCCATTTGAGACTGCTTATTCATTTCTCTGGATTTCTTTTGTGGAATTTTTTATTTTTCTCATTATTATAAATTCAAAATAATTTATTATAAGTAGGAGGAAGTATCTGACTATACTATGTCTTCCAGTATAGACATGAGCACTATATTGTATGTTTCTTTTATTTATTCCATACATTACATTATACAGGATATTATGTTAATTTTTAGTGATCCTATATATATAAAACCATGTGCTTAATAAATGTTTATTATTTTAAAATATATAGTAATATAGACATATATAAAACCAGATTTTGTTCTAAATATGTGTGTACATAGTTATTCTACATCTTATTTTAGGATAGTAAGGGAGTCACTTAAATATTTTTTATAAAACAGGAATTTTGAATTTTTATTATTCATAGTAATTACTAAACTTTCTCTACCTAACATATACATATAAACAAGGTAGCTATTACATATTAATGAGTATAAGATACAAGAGAAGCTATATTTATAAATAATGAGATAAGAATAGAAATTCAAGAATTATCATAGTTTGATTTAAATCTCTCTTTTGTTTGTTTTGTGTGTGTGTATGTGATGTAGTCTTGATCTGTTGCCTAGGCTGGAATGCAGTGGTATGATCTTGGCTCACTGCAACCTCTGCCTCCCGGGTTCAAGTGATCCTCCTGCTTCAGCCTCCCAAGTAGCTGGGACTCAGGCACACACCAGCATGCCTGGCTAATTTTTGTATTTTTAGTAAAGACAGAGTCTTACCATGTTGGCCAGGCTGGTCTTGAACTCCTGACCTCAGGTGATCCACTCACCTCAGCCTCCCAAAGTGCTGGATTACAGGCATGACTACTGCGCTCAGCCAATTTGATCTAAATCTTGAGAGAAATGTCAAGGAAATGGTGGAGAAAGTAGAATATCAAGATATATAAAAAAGACAAGGGAGGTGAGGATTTGTCTTATTGATAAATTTTAACCACAGCATTTGTTTCCCCAGGTGGAAAATGCTCTTCCAAATGTAATGGAATCAGCTTTTTATTTTGAACAAGCTGGAGTTGGTTTGGGCACAGATGAGACATACCGCATATTTCTTGCCTTCAAGCAGCTTACTGACACCCAGCCAATCCAAAGATGCCGCTTCTGGGGAAAGATCTTGGGTCTGGAAATGAATTATATTGTAGCCGAAGTGGAATTTCGTGAGGGGGAAGATGAAGAGGAAGTGGAAGAGGAAGATGTAGCTGAAGAGAGGGACAATGGAGAAAGTGAAGCTGGTGAAGATGAGGAAGATGAATTACCAAAGTCCCTTTACAAGGTCCCACAGGCTATACCAAAAGAAGAAAGTAGAACAGGTGCCAACAAATATGTCTATTTTGTTTGTAATGAACCAGGAAGACCATGGGTAAAGTTACCACCAGTTACACCTGAACAAATTGTTATTGCAAGAAAAATCAAGAAATTTTTCACTGGGCGATTGGATGCTCCCATCATAAGCTACCCACCTTTCCCAGGAAATGAGAGTAATTATTTACGAGCGCAAATTGCCCGAATTTCAGCAGGAACCCATGTCAGTCCTCTAGGATTCTATCAGTTTGGCGAAGAGGAAGGAGAGGAGGAGGAAGAGGTAGAAGGCGGCCGAAATAGCTTTGAGGAAAACCCTGATTTTGAAGGCATACAAGTGATTGATCTAGTAGAAACCTTATCTAATTGGGTTCATCATGTACAGCATATTCTCTCTCAGGTAGGTACTTTGCAATTCTCAGTCTATCAGGCAATTAGGAATTATTCACTAAATTGTCACTAGAATGCACAAAGGCATATAAAGTAAAGGCCTTTAGGTTCTATTTAATAGGCAGATATGAGATCATTAAAAATACAGCCAGCTGGGCACAGTGGCTCACGCTTGTAATCCCAGCACTTTGGGAGGCAGAGGCGGGTAGATCATGAAGTCAGGAGATCAAGACTATCCTGGCCAACATGGTGAAACCCCGTCTCTGCTAAAAATACAAAAATTAGCTAGGTGTGGTGGCAGACACCTGTAATTCCAGCTACTTGGGAGGCTGAGACAAGAGAATCGCTTGAGCCCCGGAGACAGAGGTTGCAGTGAGCTGAGATTGCGCCGCTGCACTCCAGCCTGGTGACATAGCGAGACTCCATCTCAAAAAAAGAAAGAAAAAAAAAAAACCACAGCCCAAAACACAGAGTAATCTATAACTACCAGAGTCTGTATAACTGTCTATGTAATTGAGGGTTCCAGGGATCTCCAAAGAGACTTTATTTTCAAATAGAAAATAAAGCACATTCTTTTTTGGAGTGTTTGACAGATGACATACAGATTTGGATTTGTGTGTTCTGAAATTACTTAGTTTTTTATATGTTTAATATGGATGGTACATTAATTTTGAAAACCGTTCTTTAATTTTATCTCTATAACACATGTAGCTTTTATGCCAAGAACATAAGGGATTATAACAAAAACATAAAACAAGGAAACAGTGCTATACGGCAGTTATGTAACACCTGTTGTTCTAGGGGTGTGTACATTTGTGTGTGTGTATATTTAATCTTCATAACAACCCTATGAAGTAGTATTATTATCCTTGATTTGCAGATAAGGAAATTGAAACAGAGAGTTGAGAAAATGTGACAAAAGGAATAGAGCTAATAAGGAACAGAATCAGATGTGAGTCTGCACAGAATGGACCCAATGCATCCACTTAACCCCTGTGCTATACTACCTCATCTGCAGGTAGAAAATCCTCATTGTACTTTGACCTAGATAAGAGATACTCTTAGCTTTTTCTACATTAGAGTTAACAAAATGAGAAATTATAAACCCTAAACCTCCATAAAAAATCTTATTATCACATTTAAATGTTATTGGTAATAATAGTCATCATAGTAGCTTTAGCTCTCTCACATAAATCATTTACCACAAACCAATAAAATACACTCTTACCTTTTTCACTAAGGTTCTGCTAATTTTGAAATATAAGTGATAATTTTAAAATACACATTCCGTGACTTCAAGAATTTGGCAAATTCTTAGAATAAATAGCATTCTTTTCCTTGAAACAACCTAGATCAAAATAGCCCTTGGAAAATGCATGTAGAATGAATGAATGAATGAATGAATGAATGAATGAATAATAAATTCCCACAGAGTGAAACCTCATCCTGATAATCACTTGAATTCAAATGAATATTATGAGATTTTAAGATCCTCTTTAGCCTACTAAATCTCACATCACTGATTCCCAGGGTCGCTGTAACTGGTTCAACTCCATACAAAAAAATGAGGAAGAAGAAGAGGAAGAAGATGAAGAAAAAGAAGAGCCTGACTATATAGAACAGGAAGTGGGGCCTCCTCTTTTGACACCAATCTCTGAGGATTTAGGTTATTTTACATAACTATTATCACACACAGACACACAAACAGTATAACATATTATGTGCATTATATAGTAAAAATGAGAGCTGGAAAGCTGTAAAAAGTGGACAAGAGCCAAGGTCGCATCCTCTTCCCATTCTTGTTCTGGGATGATAGAGAGCAAAGGCTGTAGCTGGCCATATCAGTGTTCTCTGACAGAGGTTGAAGGAATGGTGCAGAGAAGAAACATAAGTTGGCTGTAGCTCTTTCTCCTCTATTATTCTTGTCTTGCATTCTGCAAACCATAAGCAAATGGTACAGTTGAATATTCTTGGTCCTGGTTTTTAAAAACTCTACTCTCGTTCCTATACTCTTGTTTCTTTCCCTTCAGTTTTGGAATATTTGTGCTTGAAACCCTTGATCTCATTCATAATAATGATGTACTTTTCATCAGGCCATCAAATGTTACTCACTCTGCTACATAAGTCTCCTCTCCCTTAATAAAACTTCTTGTCTTGGTTGCAAAAATGGAACTATATGTTCAAATTTCATTATTCCAAAACATTCGTGAAGTACTATCCTGATTTTGTTAAGCTGATGTTTTTTCTTTCTATATCCAATATGTGTGTATCTGTGTGTGTGCATGTATGTGTGGATTTATAAAAATAGCTTACAGAGTAGGTTCTTGTGTAGTTAGGAATTAAGCTTTTGCATTTCTCTTTGGGATCCAGAGATTCAGAATATACCCGCTTGGACAACACGGCTATCATCAAATCTCATTCCACAATATGCTATTGCAGTCCTTCAATCCAACCTCTGGCCTGGAGCATATGCCTTCTCCAATGGCAAGTAAGTATCCAACCACTTACAAAGCCATTTCTGTGATTATTTAAGCTCTGGAAATTATAAATAATCACTAAAATGTTAAGCTACTATCATTTTAACTCATCTTGGGCATGTGTGTGTGGCATAAAATTTATTAAAATAACATGTGTTACACAATAGCATATCAAATTCAGGGCATTATAGAGTAATTCAGACTTCTGCCCTTTCATTTTAATTATCCAATTTGTTGAAATAAAATATGGTTTTTCATTTATGATTTGGGTAATGACTTATTCATTCACTTAGTGGATTAATGGAGGTAATTCTAAGTCGTGTTTAAATTAGTATAAATCTCAGATCATTTTTGTTGGAAATCTTTATAAAAGATAATTAAAATATGCTTTATTTAGGCTACTGCTTTCAAAGGAATTAAGATCAAGAGTATACTAAAAATAATTTTATCCCTCACCTAGAACATATACTTCTATTTGTCTTATGTTTCCATTTCTTTCCTAATAACCCAGTGTCAGAAACGTAGCTTATCTGGAGAGAAAGCTGATCTGCCAGGTGTTAGAGTAGCATTAAAGCAACAAGCTAAAAATGAGAATTAAGCCTTTAATCATTTACTGTGACAGTACAAACAAGAGAAAGCATTGACATCCCCCTGTTCCATTTTCCCCCATGGAATGGCCCACTAGTGGAGGGCCAGGTGGATTGGCACAGATGTGGCTATCATATATGTGGAGTCCTGGGGTCATCTCATTGACAAGGGAATCCTCAAATGGCTCCTGGAGTTTTACAGACCTGGAGACCAAGAGGAGGATGAGAGGGCTGAAAGTGAAAAAGTGCTGAGTTCAGAGGGCAGAGAGAGGAAGGGCTGGAAAGGCCTCTGCTGAAGGCTTCAGATAAAGAGACCTAGGAATGAAAGAACCTGGTCTAGTAATGCAAACTTTGAAGAGCATGACTGCAACTACCCATAAGACAGCAATGTACTGGTTGTACTCCAAGACTGGTGTGCCAGGTAAACAAACTCTTTGTGATTGCCTATGGTCATGCCTAAAAAAAACCGCATAGGTTTCTAACCACAAACCCAACTCCTTGCCCAGCCAGGAGTTTGCAGGGTTAGCTATTTTTAAATCTTTCTAACTTTGTGGAAGGTAGTAACTTTTTTTTTTTTTCCTGAAAATAATTGAAGGAACAAAGGCTTTTGCTTGTGGTCTAGGTGTAGGGTACATTTTAACAGTGTCTGGCCCCGTGATTTTTAAAAACAGTTTGCATCAAAATAATTCCCTGTGGTAGAAGAATCATTGAGGAATATTTCACTTCTAGCATTTTACATGTATTGCTTTTTTTAATGATAGGACCATGATATTCAAATCACTTTGTTATTATAGAAGAGTCAATTTTTCTGAGAAATTACATAATGATCTTTTTTTTTTTTTTAACTTACAGAAAGTTTGAAAATTTCTACATAGGCTGGGGTCATAAGTATAGTCCAGACAATTATACGCCCCCAGTTCCACCACCAGTTTATAAAGAATACCCCAGTGGACCAGAAATTACAGAAATGGATGACCCTGGTGTGGAGGAGGAGCAGGCTTTCAGGGCCGCACAGGAAGCAGTTCTACTCGCAGCTGAGAATGAAGAAACTGAGGAAGATGAAGATGAGGAAGATGATTATGACTAATAAACATAAAATTAGCCTGGTTTTGCGTGACACTGATACACACACACCCCTTATGTGGGACTAATTTTACACATTTGTGTGTGTGTGTGTATGTATATGTGTATGTGTATACATACCTATGTAAGAAATTTTCATCTCCAAAATGTCAATCTTTAAAATATAAGGCTTGAAATTTCATAGGTAGAAATATTAGTATGTTTAATGAAAGATACGGGATTTTCCAGAGGCTAAATAACGTGATCACATCATTGTTCTGGGGGTTATGGATAATGGAATATGTGCTTGTACATTCTTATTTTTAAAAGGTCTCAGGTTTCACATGGTCCAGGTGAGGTAAAAAAATTAAGGCCAGGCACAGTGGCTCACACCTGTAATCCCAGCACTTTGGGAGGCCGAGGCAGATGGATCATGAGGTCAGACTGAGACCATCCTGGCCAAGACGGTGAAACCCCGTCTCTACTAAAATACAAAAAACTAGCCGGGCATGGTGGCACGAACCTGTAGTCCCAGCTACTTCGGAAGCTGAGGGGAATCGCTTGAACCCAGGAGTCAGAGGTTGCAGTGAGCCGAGATCGCGCCACTACACTCCAGCCCGGTGACAGAGCAAGACTCCATCTCAAAATATATGAATAAAGTTTCGGGTTTAATTTCTAATATGACAAACACTGGAAGATATAACTCACAGGAAATTCTTGGAAACATCAATACTCTCATGAGTGTCAAGTGATACAAAGACAAAAAATACTGATAGTCACTATAGTATATATTCTTAACCTTTGTAAGAACTGATCTAGAGCATGTGTTCTTAAACCTTTGTAATTACCTATGGTGAGGCCTGTGATATTGTGTGCAAACACTGTATAGTATATATATTCATTTTTCCTTCTGGAGATAGCATCATAAATTTGTCACCTCAAAAACTGTAGGAACACTCACATTTTTAACCCCTTTGTTATACCTCAAAAAGCATTCTCAGACTCCTCCTTCATCCTACAGAAATTGATTTAAACTGATTGGGGACAAATGATTTGTTTTGTACAGATATGGTTGCTGGAGATAGCCACAGACTTGACTTATATTTTCTTTTTTTTTTTTTTTTTTTTTTTTTGAGACGGAGTTTCACTCTTGTTACCCAGGCTGGAGTGCAATGGCGCGATCTCGGCTCACTGCAACCTCCGCCTCCTGGGTTCAGGCAATTCTCCTGCCTCAGCCTCCTGAGTAGCTGGGATTATAGGCACGTGCCACCATGCCCAGCTAATTTTTTGTATTTTTAGTAGAGACGGGGTTTCACCATGTTGACCAGGTTGGTCTCGATCTCTCGACCTTGTGATCCACCCGCCTCGGCCTCCCAAAGTGCTGGGATTACAGGCTTGAGCCACCGCGCCCGGCTTGACTTATATTTTCTACCACTACTTCTCTAAAACATTATTTTCCCACACTAAAAGAGCATTTTTAAGTCCTCTATGTACCAGATACAACTGTGGCTATGACTAAACACTAGGCACTGCTCTTGAAATCATAGAGCTTTCACTGAAGAGGGAGCTATAGAAAAGTAAATAGAAAAGTAAAATAGATTGCAATTTAGCAAGTATTGTGATACAAATATTACAGGTAACACAGAAGAGTGCTTCTCAAATTCTATAGTAATTTTGGTAAGTTAAAAAAGTAATTCCAAGTCATTACTGTTGTTTTAAAAAAATACAATAACACATCAGTTCTCAGCGTCTATACTTACCTTGTCACAGACCTTCAGTTTGCAGATCACCGATCTGCACTTGGAGTAACTGTTGTCAAACCCAAGGGGCACTGAATGCAGACTTCAGCAAGACAGGAAGCACTTCTAAGAGCCACCACCAGATGGAGTGCTATGGGAGAAGGTTCTTGGCGGCCCTGGCTGCATCCTGGCAACATTTTTGGCTGAAAGGAATGAAATTTCAACTACAAGAAGTGGTGAGAAATAAGCATGCAGAGGTAAAGAGGGGCTAGAGTGTGTAGAAAGTCTGACTTTTACCCCTAAACAGTAAAAATAATTACACTAGAAAGGCATACAAACATTTGTGTTTGAGAACATCTTGGCTTCAGTGTAGATGGATGAGAGAATCCAAACTTGAGACAAGGAGGCCAGTTAGGAGGTTATCACATTATCTAAGTAAAAGAAAAAAGTGGCATGGAAACAGGATAACTGGCCGGGCAGGGTGGCTCACACCTGTAATCCCAGCACTTTGGGGGGCTGAGGTGGGTGGATCACCTGAGGTAAGGAGTTAAGAGACTAGTCTGGCCAACATGGAGAAACCCTGTCTCTACTGAAAATACACACATTACCCGGGCGTCAGGGCGCATGCCTGTAATCCCAGCTTCTCGGAAGGCTGAAAGCTGTAGTGACCAGAGATTGCACCATTGCACGCCAGCCTGGGCAACAGAATGAGACTCCATCTCAAAAGAAAGAAAAAAAGAAAAGAAAAAGCAAGAAAGAAGAAAGAAAAGAGAAAGAAAAGAAAGGGAGTGAGTGAGGGAAGAAGGAAGAAAGGAAGAAAAAAGGGAAAGAAGGAAGGAAACAGGATAACTGCATGGGGATATAAAGTAGGAAACTGTGCCTGTAGTTCCATCCTCTCTGGGGGGCTGAGGTGTGAGGATCACTTGAAACTAGGAAGTCAAGTGAGCTATGATTGTGCCACTGCACTCCAGACTGGGGGACAGAGCAAGAGAGTGTCTCAAAAACAAAACCCAAAACAAAACAAAACAAACTGGTTATCAGTCTGAAGGGCAGAACATTAGGAAAGATGGTTTCCAGAATTCAATTGGCAATACTATTTCATTCTTGAAGTGCAACTCTGTCTTTGTTGGTATACCTAAAATACGTAAAACTTCATTCATGTTGGTTGTTACTCATTTTTTCATGACGTAGACGACATGTTCTTATTTGTTGCTTCATATCCACTTCCTTACCTAACCTGATTTCGTTTTGAGGAACTGCCTCTGTCCCATTAGTCTCATGCCAATCAGATGTAACCTCTCTGGAAAGTTATGGGCTCCTAACCAGATTGTTCCTTCTATAAATTAGACCATATTCTAATTTCCACAGTTGGCTTGGTTCCAGCTAAGTTCTACCCATGGACTGTGAGGTTCTGGTAATTTTTTGATGAATCACATTGGCCAGGATTCTTGGTTGCAACCATACATGGCACATCCAACAAGAAGTGTAAAGTTTCTTCTCTACAGAACACATTCAACACAAGATGCTAAATCACAACTGTAGAGTGTAAACACTTAATAAAAGCAAATCCTTGTTTATAGAACTATGCCTATTAAATATTATTTCTAAGAAGTGAGGAAGAAATTTTATTATATATATTCTCTAATAAAAGACAGTCAAATAGTTTAGTGGTAGGAGCTTGGTTGGAAGTGAGATACCCTAGGTTCATACCCTGGATGAAGATTATTTTCTTGGGCAAATTACTAACCTTTCAGGGTTTTAGCTTGCTTCCTCTGGGGCTAATAATAGTACTTATCTCACAGAACTATTCTGAAGATTAAACAAAGTAATATATGTAAAATACTAAGAGTACCTAACAAAAGTAAAGACCCAATGCATTTCAGCTTACAGCTATAAAAATGGTTTCTGAAACATTGATAAGAAAACCAAAATCCACAATGCAAAACCAATACATTTTATTGAAATAATTACCAAACAAGGAAGTATGATAGATATATTTAATTAACACAGGCATTTTACAAATTAAATTATATATTAAGTACTTAGAGAATTCACAGATTCATAATTGTGTTAAGTAGTTCAATATCAACATTTAGAAAACAAGTATTGTTCTCAATCACTGAAATGCTTAATTCTTCAAGGAATCTTCTCGGCTGTAAAAACTTGAGAAGCTTGTCTCCTGGCCTTGAAAAGAAATTTTAAAAGAATCTTAAGCTATAAGTCAATTAATTAGAATATGTGTTATTCAAATATAAAAAAGAAAATTTAGAATTTTTTTCAAGATAATAATGAAAATTTCTAAAGAAAAATTGCAATCTCAAACTTATGAAATTAGGCATAAACATTTGTCTAAGATAAATCTCTTCATCTAAATAAGTGTTCCAACATCTAAAACAGGGTCTGGAATTAGTAGATACTCAAAATATATCTATGGCAGAAATGTTTATTATAAGACAGTGGCCAAGATAAAAAAGTTTGGAAAACCAATCACTCTCTTTGAATAATAGTTCCATGATTATTAAAAGATCAGAACTAATGAAGAATAACACATAAATTGCAGTTATAAATATGTGTATTTTAGGATACTATAAACCATCAATTTTTTTTGTTTTTGTTTTGAGACAGTCTCACTCTGTCACCAGACACCAGGCTGGAGTGAGTGGCACAATCTCGGCTCACCGTAACTTTTGCCTCCCAGGTTTCAAGCAATTCTCCTGCCTCAGCCTCCCGAGTAGCTGGGACTACAAGCGCACACCACCAAACCCAGCTAATTTTTGTATTTTTAGTAGAGATGGGGTTTCACCATGTTGGCCACAATGGTCTCAATCTCTTGACCTCATGATCCGCCCGCCTCAGCCTCCCAAAGTGCTGGGATTACAGGCAGGAGCCACTGCACCCGGCCAGAAATAGACTTTTAAAAAATGAGTTATAAAAACTAATATGACATAAAAGTAAAATCACTATTTTGTCCTTTAAAGCTGCAGCCTTCCACCTGATGATCTACAAAAGAATTGGTACATTAATATTTGCTGAATTCCTACAGTATAAATTACTGTTTAAAAGGACAGAATAAGCCAGGGCACAGTGGCTCACATCTGTAATCCAAGCACTTTGGGAGGCCAAGTCGGGCAGATCACCTGAGGTCTGGAGTTCAAGACCACCCTGGCCAACATGGCAAAACCCTGTCTCTTGTAAAAATACAAAAAAATCAGCTAGGCGTGGTGGCGTGGGCCTGTAGTCCCAGTTATTCGAGAGGCTAAGGCAGGAGAATCGCTTAAACTCAGGAGGCGGAGGTTGCAGTGAGCCAAGATGGCACCACTGCACTCCAGCCTAGGGTGACGCACGAGACTCTATCTCAAAAAAAAAAGGACAGAATAACTATAAGGAACATATACTTTTAAAATGTTATATTAAACTAGTAGAATTAAACATTTTTCACTTTTTGAAATGTAGTATCTTTTTAAAAAGAAATGTGAAATTGTTCATACAAAAGCTTAGCAAACAGCCAGGCACAGTGGCTCATGCCTATAATCCCAGCACTTTGGGAGGCCGAGGTGGGAAGATCATGATGTCAGGAGGGAGAGACCATCCTAGCCAACATGGTGAAACTCAGTCTCTACTAAAAACACAAAATTAGCTGGGCTGGTGCACACCTGTAGTCCCAGCTACTCGGTAGGTTGAGGCAGGAAAATTGCTTGAACCCGGGAGGCAGAAGTTGCAGCGAGCCGAGATCGCACCACTGCACTCCAGCCTGGCAACAGAGCAAGACTCCATTTCAAAAAACAACAACAACAACAACAACAACAACAAAACAACAAAAACAAAACTCAGCAAACACGACTATGAGGTTTTGTGTCCTTACAGTAGAGGCAATATAGGGCAGGGCTCCAGATGCAAACTGCCTGAATTAGCATCCTCACTCTGTGTTAGCTTAAGAATATAACTTCTCTCTTCCTCAGCATCCTCTTTTGTAAGATGGGATTAGTAACAGGGTCTACTGTACAGGGCTGTTGTATGGCTTAAATTAGTTAACATATGTAATGTGCTTAGGATAGTGCATAGCACAGAATAAGCATTAGGTAAGTGTTATTTATTTCAATCTATTATAATTAAAATCTTATTATATTTATTATTATTCCTTTTCTACCTGGCAGTGTTATTTATACACTGTTGGCCAAGTTATGATTCTTATAGTTAAATCAAGGCTACTGTCCATGACTCAGAAAACTAGAACATCAAATGCATAGTGCAGAAAACTAGAACATCAAATGCATAGTGCAGAAAACATGTTTTTAGTATTCTACCCCCACAAATGACTCCATTTCCAAAACCAGAAAGATAACAGCTAACTAAAATGTTCAGCAATACACCATAGTAATATTTAACCACACCTATGCTCTCAAATGTGTACACTGGTGAGCAAGTGTCGGTATTTTAAAATAATTGAAACAAACCTCTAACTTTATCCGGAAAAATTAATGATAGGGTTAAAAAATTAATGTACAAAATGTTCTCAATGTGTACATTGGTGAGCAACCATCTTGGTATTTTAAAGTAATTAAAATAAACTTCTAACTTTATCTGGAGAAATTAATAATAGGGTTAAAAAAAGAATGCAACTTTTATACTTAAATCATTACAGTCATTGTATCATAAGTAAATTAAAGAACCTCTTTAAAAAATCCTTGCCTTTATATCCCATGTTATGAGGCTGAAAAGATTAGCTCTATTATTTCAAAAACTTATAGTCCTTTCCACCATGATCCTATTATTCTCCCTAAATGTTTGTCTCTCTTCTGTCTGTTTTCTCTTTAAAGGGAAATAAATCAATGTGAAGTAATTTTAGAGCTTTTTTTTCCCTTAATTTAGGGCTTATGCATTTTCTAGACTTGATGTGCTATCATACTGCTTCAGTTCATACCAAGTTTTTCAGTTCCTAGGAATTTTTCTATAATATTGTACTCATCACTTAACTGCAAGGAATAAAGACAAGTGAAATTCTAATGAAGTTAAATTTTACAACTCTGAATATCCAATAAGCCCAATTGCATAAAATAGAGCCTTAGGAATCCCAAGAATCACATTTTAATAAACCATAATTATAAGACCAATATGAGTTAGATCTCCTTGGATTAAGTTAGGTTTTCTTACTATATGGGTTATCATTATTCATCACTTACCTGACATCAAAAATTAAATATTATCAAATTAAACATTTTTATGAAACTCTAAGTATAGAGTCATTAAAGTTTCATTTCAAATATAAATATGTTCATTCCAGAAATTAAGAAAATATAAGACCAAATGGTTTTTCCAACTTAATGAAACAGAATAAGGTGCTAAGGAATACAAAGTGGGCTAGGCACAGTGGTTCATGTCTAATCCCAACACTCTGGGAGGCCGAAGTGGGCAAAGTGCTTGAGCCTAGGAGTTCGAGACCAGCCTGGGCACCATGGCAAAACCCCGTCTCTACAAAAAATACAAAAATTAGTCGGGTGTGGTGGCATGCACCTATAGTCCCACCTACTCAGGAGGCTGAGGCAGGAGGATCACTTGAGCCTGGGAGGTCAAGGCTGTAGTGAGTCAAGATTGCATGCCACTGCACTCAGGCTTGGTCAACACAGTGAGACCCTGTCTCCAAAAAAAAAAAAAAAAAAAAGAGAGAGAGAGAGAGAGAGAGAAAAGTGATAACACACGTTTTAAACTAAAAGTTTTAAACTTTTAAGTTCATGTCATTCAGACTTCACATATATTTAGATACTTACAACTTTCTCCTCTGGAGAAAGAGCACCCTCTACTGCTACTATCTGGTATTGCTTATGTTTTAAATTTCCCAGAGATTTCCGAAGTTGTTTGAGACTGCTAGCCTCTATGTCTTGCTTTAATAATTTCTGCATTTCTCGAGAAGGACATCCAGGATCAAATATTAGTAAACATAATGTTCGGTTTTTTTTCTCTTCAATTCCAATAACAGTTCGACTGTGACCTACCAAAAGATTTTTTTAAAAAAGTTACATATGTCATATATATTTACAGCTATAAAAATAGTCTCTGTATATATACTGTGAGCATATGTGTGTTTAGAATATAATACAGACTCTCTGACACATATGCATCTGAGTTCTCGTAAGACATAAGAGTTTAGTTCTACTTCAGTTTTCTTCATTTAACTTTAGTTTTCTAAAGGCTTCATTACAAAAAACTCTGCTTTTATTCTGCCATATGTTTTACTTTTCCTTTCCCAATCCCTTGATCCTTCTTATTCAAATTATGTCAAACGAAAGAACAAAAACTGTTCTAGAACAAAACTCATGATTCCAAAAGGTAAACAAAAATAAACCTATAAATACTAGAATATCAGTGGGGGGAGCTTAATCTCTTATAATTTGTATTCCTAAACAATGAAATTCCTAACATTATTCTGTTTATTCCTGTCAATCCAAACCATCCATTCATAATTTACCAAGAATCTATGTGCCAGGTACCATTCCAGGTAGGAAGAATTATAACAGCAAACAAAACAGACAAACGTGCCTATCTTCTTGGAACTTACATCCTAATAGAAGACATACTCTATAAACAAGGTAAATAAGCGAAGATAATGCCAGTAGTGGGATGCTGGGATGAGTTGTACTTTTTTTGAGACAGCCTCACTCCACTGCCTAGGCTGGAGTGCAGTGGCAGAATCATGGCTCACTATAGCCCCCAACTTCAGGGCTCAAGTGACCTTCCCACCTCAGTCTCCTGAGTATCTGGGACTACAGGTGTCTGCCACCACACCTGGCTAATTTTCTTATGTTTTTGTAGAGGCAGTGTCCCACTATGTCACTCAAGCTGGTCTCAAGCTCCTGGGCTCAAGCAATCCTGCTTCCGCCTCTGAAAGTGCTAGGATTATAGGCATGAGCCACCATGCCTGGCCTTGAGGGTCCACTTTTAAATAAGGTAAGGTCAGGGAAGGCCTCACTTAAGTGACATGTAGATAAAGACCCAAGAAGGCAAGAAAGGAACAATGAAGGACAAGTGGACCAAACACAGAAAATAGCAAGTGCAAATGGTCCTGAAGATGTCAGGAATATCAATCTTAATTACCCAAGACAGTATTGTACTGTCAAAGTAGCTCTGAAAATCAGATTAATGTCATACTACTCATTGGTGTTATCAGACCAGCCTGGCCAACACAGTAAAATCCTGTTTCGACTAAACATACAAAAGTTAGCGGGTGGGATGGCATGCCCCTATAGTCCCAGCTACTCAGGAGCCAGGAGAATCGCTTGAACCTGGAAGGCGGAGGTTACACGGAGCCAAGATTGTGCCACTGCACTCCAGCCTTAGCAACACAATGAGATTCTGTCTCAAAAACAAAAAACAAAAAACAAAAAACAAAACACCCTTAACCTGTCTAAAAGCAACAATTTGGTTTTGTTTGTTTGTTTGTTTGTTTTTGAGATCGAGTCTAGCTCTGTTCCAGGCTGGAGTGCAGTGGCACAATCTTGGCTCACAGCAACTTCTGCCTCCAGGGTTCAAGTGATTCTCCTGCCTTGCTTCCTGAGTAGCTGGGACTATAGGCATGTGCCACCATGCCCAGCTAATTTTTGTATTTTTAGTACAGATGGGGTTTCACCATGTAGGTCAGAATGGTCTTGATCTCTTGACCTCGTGATCCACCTGCTTTGGCTCTCCAAAGTGCTGGGATGACAGGTGTGAGCCACCATGCCCGGCCAACAATTTGTTATCTTATAAACAACATTGTCAAGTATGAATTATATTAATACCAACCTTGATGCTGAAGATAAATGGGAGGTTTAGATGTACACACTACCTTTGGACTCCCTTCACCCTCCGAAGAATAATAGTTTAATATCCATTCAAATAAGCAAGGGTGTGTACCCAAAGGACCAGTTGACTTGTGAAAATCAACAATATGACACCTATTAAAAATTGACAGAATACATAATTAAAGGCCATTTAAAAATATTTTCATCAATAGAGTTATCAAATAAAACAAATTCTTAGTTTAGAACCAACTTTTTCTAGCCATTACTTCCCTGTAAAGGAAGAAAGAAAAATAAATATAAATTTTTATTGCTTATCTAAAAAAATTATCATTTTTTGGGGGGGATAACTATTTAACAATTCTCCCCCTATTTAACCATTTCACTATTCCTCTAACTAGTTAACTATTTAAATAACTTCATAATAAGTCTGCTGACTAACCTTAAGATTATAAACATTTTCTGATATATAAAATTTCTATGAATAGTAAATAGTGACCATACCTCATTTTTTAAAAGTCCTCTACATATAATCTGGGACATAGCTTTTATTCTAGTTTCTAACCCTGATGATCAGTTAGAAGCTGATTTCTGATTTTAATTCCTCAATAGCCATTTGTATATATCAAATAAATCTTAAATACTTTTCCTGTCAGTGTCTCAAATCTCTATAACAGAAAATACCTGTAAAGATCATAGAAAAATATGTGTGTGCCCACATCTATACATATATCTCCTATTTGACACCAGACCACCATGGCATTTTTCCTTCAAGAAGGAGTCACACTTAAATAAACAATTTTTTTAACCAGAAACACTTTTTATACTACTCAACTACTGTTTTTAAAAGGTCAGGTACAACTAAAAGCATTTTATTATAGCTTTAGTATCACTTTACACTACAGCACAGATACTCTGTCCTTGTTTCTCTTGGCAACAAAATCTCTAAAACATCCAAATTGCTAACCTCAGCCTCAGCAATTTAATGCTAGTAACTTACAGCGGGTTACTGGGTTTTAAGTGTTCAAATACATTTCTGGATACTGTTTAGAAGTAAAAAGAATGTTTTGGGTTAGCAGTTTGTATATTTATATTTAGAATACTAATTAAACAGTACCTTACAGAGTATAATTCATATACAGAGCAACAGAAAGACATGTAAATAACTACTAAACACATTCAGAATATATTAATTAAAAAGCTTACTAAATTATTTAAAGTACCAGGAAAGAAGCTGAACAAGAATTATGGCTGGGTGCAGTGGCTCCCACCTGTGATCCTAGCACTTTGAGAGGCTAAGACAGGTGGACTGGTTGAGCCTAGGAGCATCAGACCAGCCTGGACAACATGGTGAAATCCCATCTCTATTAAAAATACAAAAAAAAAATAAATAAAAAATTAGCCATGAGTGGTGGCATGTGCCTGTAATCCCAGCTACTCAGGAGGCTGAGACATGAGAATCACTTATGCCTTGGAGGCAGGGGTTGCAAGCCAAGATCACACCATTGCACTCCAGTCTGGGTGACAGACTGGAGACAGATTCTGTCTCAAAAAATAAAAAAAAAAGAAGAAAAAATTACTTTAAAACTCAGAACATGATAGAGTATATACAATCTGAAAGTGTGAATAGATTGGCAAAAAGAAAAAGGAGAAAAGCAGAAGTAAATTTAGAGGGCATTAAAATAGTTCTTTAAATTTAAATAATTCAAGAAAGTTATTATGTACACATGCAGTATTAGTTTTTCTTTATAAACGAAAGAAATACTTTTACCTCTGAATCTAATCAATTAATGTGGTAAAAACAATGTGATATACTGTTTAAATAACTTAGAAACAAACATAAAGGGAAATAGAAAGTCATAAAGCTTCATAAAGGCAGACATTCCATTAAACATAATCACAGGCATCTATGTCTATTTCTTCTTAGCCCAATGACATAATACTGAAGGAAATGATGATTTAAACACCCAAGGACAAAGAGAATGGGAACAGACAGGAAGAGAGCTCACATTTTCAGAAAATGGAAAGGAGCACAGAGAACATGTAAAAGTAACTAAAAGAAAATGGAGACCATATGTTTCAAAATCAGAGAGAGGCTGAAAGCTTAGAAGCACGAGGTTTGAGAGCAGCTAAAAATATGAGATTAATTCAAAGTTTGCTTCAAAGGCAAATTATACCTCAATTCTCCCCTCCACTATTGCAAGAACTCTAGGCAGGAGAGTAAAAAACTCTTCTCTGGATAACTTCTGAGAAAAGATTTCTCTATATAATGATATTTGAGAGTTCCCCAACCAAGTAGTAACCTTCCACCTTCCACCTTCCACCTAAGACTTTTAATTAGGTCTGCTATTTGCAAGCTCTGTGCAATCCTATAGCACTTCTAATCAGCTTTTTAATGTTTCATTCTTCACTCTCTGAATGGACAACTAAGGATTTCCAAAAGTTGAAAGAAAGCCTTCAAAATAGAAAAGACTAAAATAAACAGACATGAAAATAAATTAATATGGAACAAATAGAAAAATGCAGGCAACAGAAAGAAAACATTGGAAAAAATTTTGCAACCATAAAGAAAATGATGCTATGAAATTATTCCTTAAAATTAAATAATGGTTAAAATAAAAATTTCAATAGAGTAGTTGGGAGATAAAGTTGAGTAAATCTGGAAAATAAAATAAAAAGCAGATTTTTAAAAAGGGACATGATAAACTTAGAAGGTAAAGAAGTTCAGGCTGGGGGTGGTGGTGGCTCAAGCCTGTAATCCCAGTACTTTGGGAGGCCGAGGTGGGTGGATCACCTGAGGTTCCATACCAGTCTGGTCAACATGGTGAAACCTCATCTCCACTAAAAATACAAAAATTATCTGGGCTTGGTGGCGGGCACCTGTAATCCCAGCTACTCAGGAGGCTGAGGCAGGAGAATCGCCTGAATCCAGGAAGTCGGAGGTTGCGGTGAGCCAGGATTGTGCCATTGCACTCCAGCCTGGACAACACAGCAAAAACTGTCTCAAAAAAAAAATAAATATAAATATAAAAAAGGAGAAGTTCAGTGGCAAACTATCAATAGTTCCACAAAGAAAACAAAGAGATTTTAATTATCAAACAATAATAGTTAACCTCCAAAGTCATGCTGTGTGCCAGTTACAGTTCTAAGCACTTTATTATCCCATTTAATTGTCTACTTAATACCTTCTTTTATCCATGGTAGAACTAGGTACAGACAAGTTCATTCATTCAGCTAGTAAGTAGGAAAGCTAGAATCAAGTTAGACAGTTTCACTCAAAGTTCAAGTTCTTAACTACTATCCTAGATGGAACTAACTAAGATCTTAGACAATTCACAATTCCAGATTCAAAGAGAAAAACAGGCCGGGCGCGGTGGCTCAAGCCTGTAATCCCAGCACTTTGGGAGGCCGAGGCGGGTGGATCACGAGGTCAAGAGATCGAGACCATCCTGGTCAACATGGTGAAACCCCGTCTCTACTAATGGTGCAAAAAATTAGCTGAGCATGGTGGCGCGTGCCTGTAATCCCAGCTACTCCGGAGGCTGAGGCAGGAGAATTGCCTGAACCCAGGAGGCGGAGGTTGCGGTGAGCCGAGATCGCGCCATTGCACTCCAGCCTGGGTAACAAGAGCGAAACTCCGTCTCAAAAAAAAAAAAAAAAAAAAAAAAGAGAAAAACAAATGCCCAACACAATGAATCAAAGCCTACACCCCATGGTGAAATTCATAATATTGTGAAATTATGATGGGCTAAGAGAAGATTGGAAAAACTTCCACAGAAAATAAATAGGTTACACATTTTAAAAATGAGAATCAGATCACATCTTACCATCTCAATAGTAATATTCATTGCTAGATGTCAGGGTAGGCTGGAAACTTAATTTGATGTGAAAATGATTTTAGAATTAAGAATAATATAGCCATTCAAACTATCATTAAGTAATAATACTAGGTACCCTTTCTTGGGGTACCTAGTATTATTGTAGTATAGTACCCTTTCTTGGGGTACCTAGAAACAAATGAAAGAAATGCTTGAGCAAAAGGGAGTAATAATCTAAAAAGAGAGAGACATGAAATCAAATAAAAATACAGGTCCTAACACAAAAATACAGTGAAGAAATGCTACACAATAATAGCTGTAAATCTAGAAGGCAAAAAGTCCAGATGGAAGCAAAGAAGACAGAATGCTCCAAGAAGGATGTGTTTGAGAGTAAGGAGAGCCTCAGATTACATGATAGGTAGAGTGCAAAAACCTGAGGCCATGATGCAGTCAAGTATTATAGTAAAAGAAAAAGAAACACAATTACTAACTACAGAAAAAATTTTAAATGATTTTAGCAAACAAAATCAGCAATGAGCGATATTTACACAATCGTGTAATAAAGTCTGACTTTATAAAACGATGTAAACTCTGATTTTAATAAAAACTGAGATTTAATCATATTAGAAGGATTGAAGGTAAACAGATAGAAGATATTAATACAGACAATATCTAAAACTCATAGAGCAAGAAACAGCTATGAAAGCACACCATTTAAAAACAATGGAAGTGATAGCTGCCCCTCAGAGACAGGAATTGAGGGTAGAAAAGAGCATACGATTGGGAATAGGTTGCTGGTTTTCACTGCTACTTAATTCAGTGCTACTTAAGTTTATTTTAAAACTATCTCTTTGATAAAAAATAAAATTTTAAAAAACAAAACTCCCAGATATGATAATAACATTTAATTAGGTTTTAAGGTACATACTTTATCCTTAGGGAGGTCAGGAGTATATATATTTCACATGCTCCAATCCAGGCCTTTGTTCCCTGTAACCTGTTATTAAGTTGAGAGGCCCCCTGAGGATCAAAACCTTCCTTCCATGCATCTTCAATCATGGATTGAATTTTTGGAATGCAAGGAATCGACATACCTAAAATTATAAAAGCAAACATGTTACATGACTGTTAATAAAGTACTGAATAATATAATTTAGCAGTGTATCATGTACTAGGGAAACTTTACAGTTTTTAAGACAGTTATTCCTGACATCTATCATTTTCTCTTCCTCTAATCAGAATTCAGGTTTCCGATGTAAATATCCACTAATCGTTAAAGTGATTAATTATGTGTGCTATATCATTCAATATCATACGTATTTTATCAGATGAGACGTTCAGAGTACTAGATTTCACATACCTTTTAAGCAATCATTATAAGCATCATTTTGTAATAATGATGAAAGTAGCATTTGGAAATTTCTGTAACCACAACCCCAACCTTTGTCGCCTAAAGATGAATGAAAGTGATCCACCACTGAAGAAAGCCACACCTGCCTCACATCCGTGGCAGTATTCTGATAATACCTATGAAGTGCTTCAATAATTCCTAAAGTAGAAAAGAGATTTAGAAGCAGTTGTTATCAACTTTATATGGCTATCTCATACATTTTTAATATCAACCTCTCCTTCACCCTCCATATTTAAATCCTGTCAATTCCATCTTCTTCACCTCCTTATTGCTATAACCTTAGTTTGTGTCCTTGCTTGTTACTACAATCCAAGTTTCCTAACACTAGCATATTTTATTAGATTCAATTGAAATTTTTTGCATCTTTCACTTCTGCATCTGCAGGGACCCGTACATAAAGTACAACTGTTGAATGAATGTTCTTCTTGTCTGTCCATTTTATTGTATAGAATGCTGGAGACCACTCAGTCTTAATCAATTTGTTCCCAATTAAAAAATATTAATAGCTCCCTATTACCAATAGTTTTAAATTGTTTGTAATTTAAAATTTTATTTTGCAGAATCAATTATCAAAGCATGAGAATACACATATGTTTTCATTTAAAAACTCTTGACTTACTATTCATGAACAATAAACATATCCCAAACTCCAATACCCTAAATTTCAACCCTTTAGTAGCATATTCCATTTTGCCATTTGGGGAGATGAATTTGTTTGAGACAACAGAAGGAAGTAAACCATACTTTCCTTAAGGCAGAACAATTGGTTTAGGAATCTTATTAACAGCCTTATAAAACTTATTAGAATAGTTCTAATCTATGTGATATGAAGTCCAAAGAAAGCTATCCACTGACCTCCCTTTATTTCACACCACTCTTCTTGCCATAATTTTGGCTGTGGCTTAACTGAACACATTAAACATAATTTGATCCATGGAGTTTATATTCAGTTTTTTAAATTAAATTTTCAAATTCTGTATTTACTAAGTACTTTTTTTTTCTTTTTCGCAACAAGAGTCTCACTCTGTCACCCAGGCTGGAGTGCAGTGGTGCAACCCTGGCTCACTGCAACCTCCACCTCCAGGTTCAAGCGATTCTCCTGCCTCAGCCTCCCAAGTAGCTGGAACTACAGTCACACACCACCACCCCCAGCTACTTTTTGTATTTTTACTAGAGACAGGGTTTCACTGTATTGGCTAGGTTGGTCTTGAACTCCTGACCTCGTGATCTGCCCACCTCGGCCTCCCAAGTGTTGGGATTACAGGTGTGAGCCAATGCACCTGGCCAACTAAGTACTTTTTATACACCTGGCACTATCTAAGTGCTAAGGACAAAAAGATAAATATGGTACTATCCTTTGAAACGTCATGGACCCCAACTATAACAAGTGCTATAATATGGAAAAACAAGGTGTTAGGACAAGGGACATCTGAGTCCGTCCCTTTCCTGCTTTTAGTATACTCTCCTTACATTTTAAAATTATAGATCCTTCACATGCTACTGTCTTCATAGACTCTTTTTCTGATTCTAACCCTTTTTCTGAACACTTACTGCATTTATTTTTTGTGTCCCCAAGGTACTAGCCACATTCAGTCACAGTAGAATACTACAGTTCTTTGTTTATATTTATTATACTCTACAGACTCTGTGAAGCTTATAGATAGGGAGATCTTATTTATATGCCCCATACTTTCTCATAGCAGGTAGCACTAAAGACAATAAATTCCTTTTGCTTGAATGAAGGGTTTCCTATAAGAAAATGAATTTTTGTCTTTAAGAGGGACAATAAAAGATCAATAAATAAAAACAATTAAATGAACCAATAGTTGTAGCTGTGCCCTGTACCATGAAAAGGAGAAATACTGATCACCATAACCACTTTCAAGGAACTTATAAATATTTGAATTCAAGAAAAAAAACATTAAAATAGTATATAACTGAGTACTAAATGTTATAGCATGGAATCAACGGGTACCCTAGGAAATCAGAGAAAGAAAGCTAAATATAGACTTCAATATCATAGGCTTGAATGAAGAGATCAAGATTTGCAACAGTCCTTTAAGAATGAGGTGGGGTGAGGGACAGAAAAAATAGAAAGGAAAGTAATAAACATTCTAGTACATTTTAGTATATATATTACATATCAGATGGAATGCCACACTGTCTTAGCAACATCATACAACTGCTGTAGGGGGAAATTTCCTTCAAACAAAGTACTTTTTATTCCTTAGCACCTAAATCTCTTTAGATATTTTCCACAGTTTATCTTCAGTTAGATTATATTCTATTGTTAAAATTATAACAAGATTGCAGTATGTAAGTGAAGACTCTTTAAATGACAGCTGCTTCAATTAACACTTGCATAGTTAAAAAAAAAATCTCTGCCACTAAATCAATCACTTCTATATTACAGGGCAGTGTACTTTTTTACAGATATATTTAATATTTTCTTTCTGTATCCTAACGAATCATATCACATATCTGGAGGATGCCCTATGCCGTAGCAAGAACTTTTTTACATGGAGACCCCTGAAGAAGTATAAAGGCAGCCTTCTGAAACTGGCTCATGGATATATAAAAATCTTTAATACACAGTATTACAATAGGTGGAGAAAATACAGATTCAATAAATGGTCGTGAAATAAGCATAATAAGCACTTACTATAAGGACTGTTATAAATAAGGAGAAAATAATCAGATTCCTATCTTCTCTCTCCTCCCTCCCCCAACATACACATACAAATAAATTCTGGGTAGATTAAAAATAAAAATATGAAATGCAAAATATAAAGATTTGAAGAAAACATAAAGGTATATATTTGTGATCTTAAAGATGGAGGAGTTACTTAAGACACAAATAATAAATAGAAACATTAAGAACTTTCATTATATTCAAATACAAAACTTCTAATTAAAGGCACTATATATAAAATTTAAATACAAACCATAGGCCTGAAAAAGATATTTGCATCTCATATAACTAATGAAGGAATAGTATCTTGAATACTTACTGGACTCCCACAAATCAGTAAGAAAGACAAACAACCCAATAAACAATAGGAAAAAAAAAAGAGAACATTTTTCCTCATTCAAGAGGAAAATAACTCAGGAGTAATCCAGGAAATGCAAATTAAAACATGTATCATCTCATAACCCATCGAATAGCAAAAATTTAAAAGTGTTCACCATACAATGTGTGAAATATACTGGTGTGAATGTAGATTACAAGTACTTTGGAAAACAATTCTACAATAACCTTAACAAAGTTGAAGATCTGCATGTCCTTTAACGTAGCATTCCAGTTCTGGATGTAATACTAGAGAAATTCCTGAAGGACACATGTTCATAAATTGTAAGAGTATAAAACTGGAAACAATCTAAATGTTTACCAACATGAAAACAAGTTATCTGTAAGTCATACAAGGAAATACTATACAGCAGCTAAAAGAATGAAGTAGAACAGCAAGAACCAATACATTTGAGCAAAACAATTTACAGCATACATGTTGTATCCCATTTATATATAAACACATGCAAAATATTTTATGGAAATGTACATACACGGTAAGAGTACTAAAACATGTATGAGATTGATAAATACCAAACTCAGGATAATAGTTCCCTTGTGGGTAGAATGAATTAGAATCAGAGAAGGGGTACATAAAAGGCTTTGAATCCCTATGAAAGGTGTTGAAGCTTTAAAAACCTTTAAGTAAATACGGTAAAACATTAAGATTCAAAAAATCTGGGTGGCAGTAACAAAGCTATTTCCATAAAAAGTCTGTTAATATACTAATATATAAAGAAAAAAATTTTAAGACTTGTCAAAAAAAAGTCGTATTGTGGGGCAAGGCAGATTTGATTAGGAATAACCAGCTGTGTAATCTTGCTTTGGCAAAGTCACTATAACCTCTTTAAGCAACAGTGACCTCATTTGGAATATTTAACAGTAAAGGAGAGGATGTCTGAGTTAAATGATACAATGTATATGGAGCTCTTAGTGTCTAAAAATGCACAAACAATATAATAGCCTCTTGCGTTTGTAGCCACTGAGAATTTGAAATATGCCTGCCCAGCTGAGTTGTGCTGTAAAGTAGAAAATACACAATGGATTTTGAAGAATGTACAAAGAATGTAAAATGTCTCAGTAATAGTTTTTAATATTGATTACATGTTGCAATAATATCACAGATACATTGGTTTAAACTATTAAAATTAGCTTCATCTGTTCCTTTCCACTTTTGTTAATGTGGATCCAGAAAATTTAAAATTAAATATGTGGCTCACATTATATTTCTCTTAGCACTGTCTGGAACGGAGCTTTTTCCTTTTTGTGGAGAACGGGGTCTCGCTATATTGCCCAGGCAGGTCTCGAACTCCTGGGCTCAAGCTATCCTCCCGCCTCTGCCTCCCTAAGAGTTGGGATTACAGGCGTGAGCCACAGCGCCCGGCCCTGGAATGGAGTTTTTTAAATGTCAAGTAACACAATATAAAAGTAAATTTTTAAGTGAACTATTTACTGTAAAAATAATTCACAAGTTTTAAAACAATACTTTTTTTTTAAATTTGCACACAGTCTCACCTATAACTATATAAACCATGAATTATGAAAATTAAGCAAAATTAACATGATTCTGATTATTACTTCAGTGGTATAAGCAATATTAAAACTATGACTCTGATGTTTACGTACTCACCTGAAGTTTTTGTTTTTCCATCATCAATACCAATAGCTAATGATTCCATCATATCAGCTTTTCTTCTATGAAATTCAGATGGAGGCATTCTTCCCCTATTTACTTCTATCTCCATATTTCGTAGTTGTTGTTGTTTGTATCCTCCAGAATTATCTAAACCATATTGTCTCTATTGAACATAAAAATAAATGACTTAATTTTTACATCCCTGTACCTCTATGAAGATGGAAATTTACTTTGATTTTATTTATTTGGAAACATGTTGAAACATTCTGGTTTATAGACTTTATACAAGTTAACTTAAAAGAATTTTATAAAAACTAACACACACACACACACACACACACAAAATTATTGATAAGCAACCACTTCTTTATAATCAATCTCTGGAGCAAGATACTTGCTTTTCTGTAGTAGGGAAAGCAGAGGATCCCATCTTTTTACCACAGGTATTAGGAAAGGCAGAAGAGTTCTGAATGCATTGCTGATTTTTTCAAGGAAATTTGTCAGTCCTTATTATTTGGTTCCCGGGCTAGTCCTCAAAGGCCTACTTAATCCATAATTCATTTAGTCAGTCATTTCACAAAGTAAATGAACTATGTTTTGTACACTGGACTGAGATCTCAAATAGTATGTATAAAACTATGGAAAAGTTTTCCATGGAAGTTTTCTATGAAAAAGTTTTTGTAGCAACTTTTCTACAGAATAGTTTTCTGAGACCAATGACTAACTTGCAAAGTGACATAACCTCCTTAAATATTGGAAACTTTTTATATTGATCATGTTATAAATTACAAAAGGCATAAAAGTCTTAAGAAAAGCCAATTTTCTTTCCTATTTTGCAATTATTGTAAGTCACCAGTGAGAAACAAAATCCTACATTAGGTCTTCTAAAGTACATTCTAAGAAACAAGACTCATGTGAGATATCTGAGAAAAAAAGACAAGAGGTCAAATAAGTCTGGGAAAATTGTGATATGTACATGCACATTAGTATATTAAAAGCTTTGAGAAGTACCAAAATATACAAACCTGTTTACCTGAACACTTTCCAACCTATTCAATTGCAAGCCTTTTTTGTTTATGTACTAACCTATTATCACTAGAAAAAGAGTATTTAAAAACTATGAGCAATAGGCCGGGCGTGGTGGCTCATGCCTGTTATCCCAGCACTTTGCGAGGCCAAGCTGGGAAGATCACCTGAGGTCAGTAGTTTGAGACCAGCCTGGCCAACATGGTAAAACGCTGTCTCTACATAATTCAAAAAAATGAGCCAGGCATGGTGGTGCACACCTGTAATCCCAGCTACTCGGGAAGCTGAGGCAGCAGAATCACTTGAACCCAGGAGGCGGAGGTTGCAGTGAGCGGAGATTGTACCATTGCATTCCAGCCTGGGCAACAAGAGCGAAACTTCGTCTCAAAAAAACAAACAACAACAACAACAACAAAATCTATGAGCATTATTTGCACAAATTAACACTATGGTCTATAAATTAGGATTGAAAAAAGGAGAAACAGACATTAAAAATTTAAATGCATTAAAAATATAACAGATGCTGCCAGTTTAGTCCAACAGGTAATACCACCCACCTTAGATAAATGAAACCTCAAATATGATTAAAAACAAAAAAAGCATTTCCCTTTAAAATGGTTCTTTCTAAATGCCTGAAATTGCAATCTGTAAAATAATTTAGGACTCAGGCGATATTAATTCTAAGTGTAAATTTCACTTCTAAGTCTCTATACAAACACTTAAATTCTGAGTCTCAGTTTCCTAATTTGTCTCATCAAGTTACACAGGTTTAAATGCAAGCTTTATTACTAATTAGCTGCCTGACACTGAGCAAGTTACTTAGCCATTCTCCATCTCCATTTTTTCATCTGAAAAAAATGGGAGGGGGAGGGGGGTCTAAATAACTTCTTCATGAATTTGTTGTAAAGATTTTGAGATACTACATGTGATGTGATTACCCCTCTGCCTGACCAGAATAAGTATTTATAAATGGTGGCTGTTATGAACATATATAAATAATTTTTTTTTTTAAGAAAGACCAAAATAATACACTGGAGTCCTGAAAGGATATTTGAAAAATAAGTCTACCAAATCAAAATATTAAAATTGTTATTAATCTTTGTACCTGCAGCTTCTGAAATTCTTCTATTTCTTGTCTTGATTCTTCAGATCTCTTTCTGTCTTCTTCTTGCTGAAGCTGCTGAGCCAACTGCAGATCACCAGAACACTGGACTCTATCCATGCCTGCTAGGTATTTTTAATGTTCAGAATAAAATAACTTGCAATCAAATATTATTTATTATCTAATATATGTTTTTAAAAGATAGTAAATGCTATTCTTTGCCATTTATTCATTACTGAGATGCTATGTAACTGAGTACAAATCTATTAAAACTTAGAACTGCTTTGGTAAGAAATAAACTCCATCTAAATGACAACTAATATTCACTGAGTACTTTTTTTTTTTTTTTTTTGAGACAGAGTTTCACTTTTATTGCCCAGGTTGGAGTGCAATGGCACAATCTTGGCTCACTGCCACCTCCACCTACCTTTTTCTCCTGCCTCAGCCTCCCAAGTAGCCAGGATTACAGGTGCCCGCCACCACACCCAGCTAATTTTTTATTTTTAGTAGAGACAAGGTTTCGCCATGTTGGTCAGGCTGGTCTCAAACTCCTGACCTCAGGTGTTCCACCCGCCTCAGCCTCCCAAGTACTGAGATTTCAGGCGACAGCCACCACGCCTAGCTTCACTGAGTGTTTTAAGCTGTGATAAGCACTTTTCATTAATTATATCATTTGATCTTTATAACAGTCTTATTAAGTAGGTATTATTATTTACTGATGAAACCAGAATTTTAAAAGGTGAAGTAAGACCCTTCATTGATGCTCATCAACATAACTAAGGCAGATTAATGTTTCAAAGAAATGGTAGGGGAGAAAAACTAATAAAGAACACAAAAATACACATTTACAAAATACAGGTGTTTGAAAATAAGTTAATTACAGTTTGGCCCCAAAATGGTAAAAGTTTGCAACATTTCCTCCTGCATCTTCTCTACTCAGGGTCTCCCAGATCCATGTGTCAGTGACTTCTGATCACTGTCTTGTCTCCTTAACCCCAGGACCTGATGGTTTAATTTTATCACTGAATATTCTTCCTTTCCTTTAAAAGTTCTCAACTGCTGCTACATCTTCCTATTTGGTCACCCTTCTATTCTTGTGGATATACAAGTCATAATCAATGTTTAGTGTCCCCTGAGGCAGTAATTTACTTAGACCATTATCTTTTTCTCTTACCCACTGCAGGTTTATAGTATAATGCATGTGCTCATACAAAGCCTATCATAATTAAGAGTAAGAATTACCAGGCATTCAGAAACCACCAGAGCAGGGAACTTTTCCATCTTTGCTCCAATAATCTCATCTTTGGGTTAGGCCGAATGAGCAGTAACATTGTCCATGAACACTGATACTGGTACTAGGATAATTGATATTGGACACTAAAGCGCTCTGCCTTAACAGAAGCTAGCCATGTACCTTAAAAAACTGAAATAGGGTAAAACACAATTGGTTTCTCTCGGAATCTACTTTTTACTTTCATTCAGTAGACTTCTAAGACTCATATAGGATTTTTCCACTTCTAAGACACCATAATGATTACTCAATGCCACTATTAAAAAACAGGGGAGAAAGGAAAACTTCTATAGAATCACAATAAAACCAGTAAGTCATTTTGAAGCTGGAGCAAGCAGCTCAAGATGCATTTAAAGATGTTTTGGTTATACAGTTCACATTCATTTGTAAAATTTTATGTGCCATATAGCAGTTTTCTAGTTTAGCAATTTTTGCTGACCAAATACAATATTCAGTGACTTCTAGCTGCTAAAGAATGGCCTCAACTTGTAAATAAAACACTTTTAAAGGAAAAGATGTATTTTTAAATATTTTTCCATATCACAAATCTAGAAATTAGATATGTATCCTAGAAAGTAGAAATTAAATGACATTTTTATCTTTAAACATATAAACATACCTTGTTCAAAGCTGTTTTCTTCTAAATGCAAGTCAACATGTTCCTGAAGAATATGGTAATTTGTACATATGAGCCCACACATAGGACAATCATAGAGTGGCTGATGACAGTCTGTATTAGAGACATAATTAAGCTGTTTTATTTTTTAATTTTAATTTTTTCCTTTCTTTTATTGAGACAGGGTCTTACTCTGTTGCCCAGGCTGGCACCATCATTGCTCACTACAGCAATTCTCCCATCTCAGCCTCCCAAGTATCTGGGGCTAAAGGCATGCACCACCATGCCCAGCTAATTTTTTTTTTAGAGATGGGGTCTCACTATGTTGTCCAGGCTGGTCTCAAATTCTTGGACTCAAGTGATCCTCCCATCTCACCATCCCAAAGTGCTGGGATTATAGGCATGAGCCACCATGCCCAGCCAAGTTGGTTTTATTTTTATAACTTTTAGACTTTTCACCCCATGTCAAAGACTGTCTACCACCTACTAACCTTATATAAGTAAAAGCTCTTTGTAGTGGATTTAAAAGCTATTTTTCTACTTCTAGGGTCAAGATAGAAGGCTGAGCACAGCACAAACCTCTCACAGCACTCCGAAGAAAAGGAAATAGTAATAATAAATATTCAGATCTGTACTCAAAACAAGAGAAACAGAAAGGAAAACCAAAGTGGTAAGTTGGGACCAGTCTGGATATGGGCTTTTAGGGTTAAATTTTCAGCACCCACCAAACTGAGTGGTAAGGTGCTGAACTTAAACATCCAGCATAAAGCTGGTAATTGGGGTCGTACTGTCTACCCAGGAGCAGCAGATTAAAGAGCTGCATCCATCACATAGCACGCAGGCAACCGGTCTAGCTTGCCAAGAACAGAAGTGGTACCTCCATAAGACCAAGAAGCAGTGGATAAGGGACATAGAAGAAGGACCCAGAATTGTGCATACACACAGAGCAAAAGCACGGAGCAATCCATATGTGTAAGGCCTGGTCTGAAAGCAGAGACTGTGAACAGCCAGGGTGAACCATCAAACTGTATCACAGGGAAGGGATCATAAAAAACTCCCATAACAGATGAATATTAAATCTGAATTGCTAAGCACATTGGAAGCTGCAATGCCAAGAAAAACAGTCCAGAAAGCTGCAAACTGAAAAAGTTACCTGTGAAGAAATGGAGCTACAGTAATCCATAATAAACTGTAAAATAAGTACGTTCAAAATGCTCACTGAAATAAAGGAGGAAACTGAATCTTTGAAACCAGGATAGAAAGTTATGGAACAAAAACAGAGAGGAAAAAAATGAAAATACTGAAAAAAAAATTCAATGGCAAAGCTCAAGAAAAAATGAAGTATTAAGAAGTTCTCAGAAAATATTTCTAAAAGCAGCACAAGAAATAATAGTATACATTATCCATAAATAATGCTGGGGGATATAAGACAAGTCCTTCAGCCAGTTCTGTACCATAAAATGACTTACAGCCAGAGCCAAGGCCAAGGAGGCCTTTGCTTATCTCATTGATCATCACTCTACTGCAAGCCAATCCCTCTCTCCCTTCTAGCCTGAAGTAACTACCAACCTTCCTCAACATGAGACCACACTACACCTCATATCCCTATATACGTTTTTTACCACCAGAATCTAAACTAAGCCTCAGAGGTTAGCCATCGTCATCTAATGGAGTCATCTAGAGCTGACATAACCACTAACACTGTTGCATCAATGAATCTAATCTAATTATTCAGTAGCAGTGTCTTAACCATCTTTAAATATCCGAAGGACATTCACTAATCTAACCCAAGCTATCCACTAATCTGACCCAAGCTATTACCCCTCCTATTCTCCTAATACCTACCAAGACACCCTCCAGAAATATTGTCTGTCATCAGTCAGCTTCTCTATACACAGTCTTTCTCTGAATATTCACTTCACCTTCCTGACTTAACTAAAATCTGGTTGCTTTATGACACATCATTTTTCCTATAGCCCCCTAACACAGAGGCAATTTATCTTTCACAATTCAGGGCCCTGGAAGTAGAAGAGGCATCACCTTTGCTCTCTTTCATCATCGTCAAACCTGTTTTAACCCCTATCTTTCTAATAATTCATGTCACCACAATATGGCATCACCTACCTTTCTTAATGCCTAGTATTTTCTGAAGTCTTAGATACTCCTTTCATTTACTAAAAATTTTAGCACCTGGATCAAAATCTTCTTTTCCTAGCCCTTATGCTAGGATCATTCTTAGCAACTTCAGTATCCATAGGGAGAGTTCTATGTCTTCATTTCTAACAATCTTTTCCTTCACCCTAATTTACCCACTGAATGACAAAATTATACCCTTAATTTGTCATTAATAATACGTGAAGCACCTCTGAAATCTCAGATTAAAATATCACCTCTGACCACCTATCCTTCCACATCTTTTTTTAATTCCACCACTTCAAAAAGTGTTTGAACTAAAACCTCCTATATAGAATATACAGACACTACTTTTTTTGTCATTCATTACCACCCTCATGTTTTTCTTTACTTTCCTGCCTAGATTCCATGCATCTTCTCTATATAATAATCATTTCCTAAAACTACCTGCAAATTCACCTGTTCCATTTACTATAACTGAACATTGGTTAAATCCAGCTATCTACCGATTCCACTTCTGTACTTCTAATGACAACAGGTCTTTTTTAAACTAAACTAAATATTCAGACATGTAAGACTACCATAATTCACCAGTTTAATGGTCCTGAGAAACTTACAAGAAACAATGTTTCAGCAAAGGATTGTCAGGCATTTTTCATCAACACACTTGTTTTTTTCCTTGCAGCAGTCCATAAATCCATAAATTTTCATTATTAGCAAATAATAAAATGACCTACTTAGAATACTCAAAGAAATTAATACGGAACTATTAAAATTAGTAACAGTTATGCCAGACACAGTGGCTCACACCTACAATCCTGACACTTTGGGAGGCTGGGGAAGAAAGACTGCTTGAGCACAGGAGTTCAAGATCAGTCCATGTAACAGGCAGGGCCAGACCTCTTTCCTACTAAATATTAAAAAAAAATTAGCCGGCATGGTGGCACAGGCCTATAGTCCCAGCTCCCTGGGAGGCTGAGGCAGGAGAACCACTTGAGCCCAGGAGGTCCAGGCTGCTGTGAGCCACAATCATGCCACTGAACTCCAGCTTGGGTGACACAGTGAGACTTTGTCTCAAAAAATATAAAATAAATAAAATAAAATAAGTAATAGTTTAATAAGACTAGATACCTTAACTATCTATAAAAATTGATGTTTCTAGTGTTTCTATAGAACTGCAAAAGTTTCTTAGAAGGGAAAAAATCTAATTTACAGAAGCAACAGAAACTATAACCGACATAGAAATAAAGCTAACACAAATGTGCAATGAAAAAAACAATACAAAATTTTATTAAGGGATACAAAAGATGACCTGAATTAATGTGGAGATGTACTCTGATCTAATTTAAAACAAAATTACAACAGAGTTTTCACGAAACTTGACAATATGGTTCTAACCTCCCCCAAAAGAATCAGTAAGTCTAATTTGATAACGAAAATGAGAAGGAGGGAAAAACTGTCCTATCTGATGTTGATGACATTTTACAAAATTGTTATTAAAATGGTGGTGTAATAAGGGAACAAAAGCCACATAGATAAATAAAGCAGATGTAAGGGACCAGAAACTGGCCCACACAGATATGAAAATGTAATAAAAGACAGAAACCATACTATAAATCAAAGATAAACCTGGTTTCTGTACAGGGAAAAACTAAAAATTAGAACCCAAGTTTACAAAATATATACATGTACACATGTATACACACACACACACACACACACACACACACAGTAGAAAAAAATTTAAACAGTGAAAATATAAAATATCAAAATTTTTAGAATATAGGAGAATACCTTTTTGAACTCAGAGTAAAGAATACTTTTTTAGACAATACATGGAAAACAAAAATAAAATTCAAATACTGCACAAAATTCAAGGATAAGCAACATCTTATGAAATACAGCTGAAGGATTAGTATTGAGAATATATTTTAAAAGCAGCTGAAAAAAACTAAATAAAAAATCTGACAACATACAGTTGAAAAAAATCCATGTAACTCAAGCATACAAAACATGTAACATGTACTTCATAACAGAGGAAATTAAAATAACTATATGAAAAAGATACTGATTTCATAGTCAGAGAAATGCATTAAAAAGAATGTAGATACTGACTTTATATCTTTTACAAAAATTAATTCAAATGGATCATAGATCTAAATGTAAAATGCAAAACTATAAAACTTCTAGAAGTTGGCAGAGTTTTTAGACACAACACCAAAAGTATAATCCATGAAAGAAGAAATTGTCAAGTTGCACTTTGTTAAAATTAAAAACTTCCACTACATGAAAGACACTGATGAAAGAATGAAAAGACAAGCCACAGCCTAGGAGAAAATATTTGCAAAATACACATCCACAAAAGGACTTGTATCCAAAATACAGCACACTTTTTTTTTTTTTTTTTGAGACAGGGTTTTACTCAGTCACCCAGTCTGAAGTGCAGTGGTGTACTCACTACAGCCTCCACTTCCCAGGCTCAGGTGATCCTCCTACTTCAGCCTCCCAAATAGCTGAGACTACTGATGCATGCCACTACAACTGCATTTTTTTTTTTTTTTTAAGAGACGGGCTTTTGCCATGTTGCCCAGGATGGTCTTGAACTCCAGGGCTCAAAGGATCTACCCACCTTGGCCTCCCAACTTGCTGGGATTACAGGCATGAGCCACGACACCTGGCCCGACAATTATTAAAGTTCAACAATAAGAAAAAGACATAAGATCCTAAATGTGTATACACCAACAACAGAGCCTCAAAATACATGAAACAAAACCTGACAAAGCTGAAAGGAAAAACAGATACATTTATAATTACAATCAGGGATTTCAACAACCCTTTCTCAAAAATTGGTAGAACTACTAGAAGTACTACCATAGAAAATGAGCAAGGATATAAATAATCTGAGCATGATCAACAGGATCTAATTACATACATAGAACATTCCACCCAACGAAGCAGAATACACTTTTTTTTTCAAAGTACACATGGAACATGACCAAGATAGATCATGGCTTGAGTCATAAAACAGACCTCAACAAATGTAAAAGAACTGATATCACACAAAGTTTGTTCTGTAACAGACTATAATAGTCTCTAACAGACTATTCATAACAAAATAATGGAGTCAAACTAGAACTCAACGCAAAGTCAGAGTTCAGGATAGTCCAGATGAGATGCTATTGGGCTAGTGACAATAAAAAGAGTATCTCTAGAAACTACACAGAAAGTTCCAAAACTACTGTCAATGTAGCTGAAACATTTTATATCTGCATCAACATTCTTTTCATTAATATACTTTTATATTTCAATAAGGGCAAATGAAAAATGTTATAGATATAAAATGGATTTCAAAACACATCTGTAATCTGTCTTACAAACCAACTTTTAGAATACCACATATTAATTTAAGGCTGTAAACTTATAATAATTTACAATGAAATAAAAACTTTACCTTCCAATGGAATGTCTAAAAGATTGGCATGCTTTGTTTTCACATGAGTTTCCATATCTTCACTATGCTCCTCTATTTTTCCACAGAAAGGACATTCGGGAGGACTGTACGTTGTTCCATAAATAGATCCTTTTATTTCGGTCAGACCAGACTGTTTTTCCCTACTTGTCAGGAATTTTCTAGATTCAGTTAAGTTCTCTGAATAAAAGGCTTCATGTTTTAAAGTACTATCTTTAATCAGGCTTTGAGCTGAATTTTTTGGATTAGATGCACAACCTGAATGAACACTTGAATGAACTTCTGTTCCACACTGTAGAGTGTTGTCTTTCTTGTTATCTGAAGTTCCATACTGTACTGTATTTATCCTCTCAAAGTTTCTTTCAAGTGTATTCTGCTCAAAATGAGCTGTTTCAATATGAAAACACATTTCATCATAATTCACACCTGACAATTTGCAAAACGGACATATAATTTCATTTTCCATGTGAACAATTAGAAGGTGAGCCTTCATGTCTGGTTCTGAGGTTACTGTTTCTCCACAAATATCACAGGAAAGCATGGTATGACAAGTAGCTAGAAAAGAACATTATTTTAAGTTTCAAAGTAAGATTTGAAGAAAAAAATGCATTTCACAAAATGATTTGAGACAATTATTTGGTCTTTAATGCTGGATTATTTTGATGAAGAAGTTTTCAATATACTTACTGTTCCTCAAATACACAAACTTATTTATAAATGGCAACCAAAATTTCAAGTGTATAGTTTCAAAAAATAATAATAATAATAATAAAGGCAGGCCGGGCGCGGTGGCTCAAGCCTGTAATCCCAGCACTTTGGGAGGCCAAGGCAGGTGGATCACGAGGTCGAGAGATCGAGACCATCCTGGTCAACATGGTGAAACCCCGTCTCTACTAAAAATACAAAAATTAGCTGGGCATGGTGGCGCATGCCTGTAATCCCAGCTACTCAGGAGGCTGAGGCAGGAGAATTGCCTGAGCCCAGGAGGCGGAGATTGCGGTGAGCCGAGATCATGCCATTGCACTGCAGCCTGGGTAACAAGAACGAAACTCCGTCTCAAAAAAAATAAATAAATAAAATAATAATAATAATAATAATAAAGGCAAAAAAACGAAAACAAGTAATTTTAAAAATAAAATATTTCAAAAAATGTATCTGGCCCAAGGTTGAGAAAAAATAACGTTTAAAAAATTGTCCAGGTAAGATAAATCAGGTGAAGAAAAAAAATGAAAAAGAAACCTATTTATCAACTGATACATTTAAACACTGAACACTGAAGCTGATTATATTGAGGGTAAATAAGCACGTCTTAATAATAGAGGTTAACACTTAAACTGCTTTACACGTATTAAACTAATTTAAGTACTATTATTATCGTTCTGCACATAAAAAATCCTGACTCAGGTCACCACAGGTAGAAAAAGGTGGAAGTCAATATGCTAATTCAGTCATGCTCCACAGCCTGTACTCTCAACCCCAAGAATAAATGCAGAAGTGGTATAATAGAAAGAAGCCCTTATTCCAGAGTCAAGAGAACTGGGTAATAATTTCAGATTCATCATTTTAGGTAAGGCATCTCATCTCTCCAGGTTCAGTAACTACTTTTGGATTTTATGGATAAATGTATTACTGACTACTGACATAAAAGTGTTAAGAAATAACAATTTTAAAAAAGCAATCACCTCGGCGGCAGCGCCTTCCTACTACAGACCATCATTCAGCCAGACAATTAAAAAAAAAAAAATAGGAAAAGAAATGACACTATTCCCTTCATTTAATAAATTTACCTTTAAAATACCTCTCTACATGGTCTTTATTTTTCTAATTTCTCTCCAGACAAATGGATATAGTCTCTGATTTTAGAAGGCAGTTCTCCCATCCCCCACCCCCCACCACCCAGCCCCCAGTGTGATTAATGTCACACCCGGAGTTTCTTCTTTTCCGGTTGCTGGGACACGGTCAGACACAGAATGATGCATCTGGACGTGGACTCAGATGAAGCAGGTAAGACACAATAGGTACCCAAATGCCTCGGAGGAAGCGAGTGAGAGACAAGACGGCACCCAGTGTCGGGATAGGTACGTGGTGGGTGAGGCCACAATGCCGCAAGGCCGAGTCTAACAAACGTTCCGTGCCAAAGGGCCAAGCCAGGGACACGAAACTAACAGGCACTAAATAGGTCAAAGCTTTGGGCCTGGGGAATGAAGGAGGGGACCATCAATTCTTACCGGCCCGGAGGCCAGCAGCTGCCACACTGCTCCGCTGGGCTTCCCCTTTGGTCCTAGCTGCCAGAGGAGTGCGTGCGCGGCGTCCAATATCTCTCCCAGCCTGAAGACTGAAGACAGGCCCTCCCAATACGCAGAGATTCAGTTAACCAAGGAAATAATTAGGAATTTCCAACACCTTGGCCCTCAATACCTCATTCAAAATACACTTCCTTAGTCCCAAGGAAGAAAAGGAATCCCAGCATGCGCCGCTCCACGCCGGTCTCTGTGCAGTGCATTCTGGGAGACGTAGTCATTTTGCATTCCTCCCAGTTCCGATATTTTGCTTCTTCCAAGTCTTAATGACCTTAGAGCTCACTTTTTTCTCCTAGCAAGTGAAAAGTGGGCTTTAAGGTCAGTAAGACTTAATCTGAGTGAGTTCATAGGGCAGTTCCTGGGGTAAACAGTAGTCTACAAGCTCCCTGTAGTGCCTGCTGAGTAGCACTCTATTTTAGTATCAATAATGGGTTTATAATGTTACTAGGTATCAAGCTCCCAGCTATACACTGAAGGTAGAGGATACCAGGTTCTTTCCTCAAGGTTACAAGATAATAATCTTGGTATGTATGTATGTATGTATGTATGTATTTTTTTTTTAGAGACGAGGACTCTTTCTGTCACCCAGGCCAGAGCTCATGGCTACAATAGCTCACCACAGCCTCAAACTCCTGGCCTCAAATGATGCTCCCAACTCGGCCTCCCAAAGTGCTCACATTGAAAGTGTGAGCCACCATGTTAGTTCAAGATCACAATGTTTTATTTTTTGTTCAGCCTTTATTTCATTCAACAAATATTTAAAGAGTGTCTATTAGAAAAGCATTGCTTGGAACAGGAGCTACAGCAGTAATCAAAATACACAAAACCCAGGACTTTTGAGGCTTACATGCTGGTGGGGTAGAGGAAATAAAAAGTAAATTAACTGATCATGGTAAGTGCTATGAAGAAAATAAAACTGGATTGGCCAGGCGCAGTGGCTCACACCTGTAATCCCAGCACTTTGGGAGGCCAAAGCGGGTGAATCACCTGAGATCAGGAGTTTGAGACCAACCTGGCCAACATGGTAGAACCCCATCTCTACTAGAAATACAAAAATTAGCTAGGTGTGGTAGCACGTGCCTGTAATCCCAGCTACTCTGGAAGCTGAGGCAGGAGAATTGCTTGAACCCGGGAAGCGCAAGGTGCAGTAGCTGAGATCACACCACTGCACTCCAGGCTGGGCAATAGAGAGAGAGACTCAGTCTCAAATAAATAAATAAATAAATAACAAAAATTAAACTGGATTATAGAGATGCTAATGTTGTTAGAAAAGGTCTGACACACAGGTTAAGTGTGCTGATGAACAAACCTTGCACCAACGGGAGAAAGAGCATTTCAGACAGATAAAATAACAAGAACAAAGGCCTCAGGCTGGAGCAAAAAGAACACTTTGTGACCAGAGCATAATGTGGTAAGGGGAAAAATTATTACAACATGAGGTTAGAGTTGTAGACATTTGCCAAATCATGTAGGACCCGGGAGAAAGCTACTGGGGTATTTAAATTGGAGGTTGATAGTGTCTGATGATAAATAGTATATTTTTAAAAATCAGGTAGGGTGCAGTGGCTCATGCCTGTAACCCCAACACTTTGGGATGTGGAGGCAGGCAGATCACATTAGCACAGGAATTCCAGACCAGCCTGGGCAACATGGAGAAACCAGTTTTGACAAAAAAATACAAGAAGTAGCTGGGCTTGGTGATGTGGCCTGTAATTCCAGCTACTCAGATGACTGAGGTGGGAGGATCACCTGAGTGCCAGGAGGTTGAGGCTGCAGTAAGCCATGGTGGCACCATTGCAGTCCAGTCTGGCCAACAGTATGAGAACTTGTCTCAAAAAAAAAAAAAAAAAAAAAAAAAAAAAACTTCTAGAAATTTGTGGAGAAAGATGGAAGATTGAACATGTACATATGTACATTTATATTTCCATGCCTCTCAAAATCTACTAAAATGATAGGAGGAGAATAAAAATACTGCTAACAGCTAATGAGATTTTTGCCAAACTTTGAAAGCTAAAAAAAAGATCAATGATTAATAGCTAACTTAACTAAGAACAGATGTCAACAAAATACAAGTCAAGTCATATTGTCTTGACTTGTGTGGGTTACTGCTTGCCCAGTGCAGCAACTAGGGGCTGCTTGCCCAGCACAGCACAGCCAAACACTGACACTGGGATAGCAACAAGAAAGAGTTGAGGCATTTATTGTAGGGCACCAAGCAAGGAGAATTGAGTAGCTCGTGCTTAATACCTGAACTCCCAGATTGGATTGGTTACATGTAAGGGTTTTTAAAGGCGAAGAGGCAGAGTTATAGGCGACATTATAAATCAATACATGGAAGCTATATGTTGTTTTTATTTTAAAAGGATGGACATCTTGAAGTGGTGGGGGGGCACAGGTCATAGGTAGATTCAAAGATTTTCTGATGTTTGATTTGCTAAGGAGGCAAAGTTTTGTCTAAAAAATTGGGATCTGCCAGGTGCAGTGGCTCACACCTGTAACCCCAGCACTTTGGGAGGCTGACGTAGGGGGCGCAGATTGGAGGTCAGGAGTTCGAGACCAGCCTGGCCAACATAGTGAAACCCTGTCTCTATTAAAACTACAAAAATTAGCCGGGCATGGTGGCACACACCTGTAGTCCTAGCTACTTGGGAGGCTGAGGCAGGGGAAGTGCTTGAACCCGGGAGGCAGAGGTTGCAATGAGCCAATATTGCGCCACTGCACTCCAGCCTGGGGTACAGAGTGAGACTCCATCTCAAAAAAAAAAAAAAAAAAAAAAAAAAAATTGGGATCAACAGAAAAGAATATTAGCCCTGGCTCAGGGGCATGATCTCCTCCAGGCATGATAACCTCAGGAAGAAATTTAGAACAAAGAACAGGTATCAGGATTTAGTCTTCAGTTCCTCCTTATCTGTAGACAGGGGCCAAATCATGTTGGACAGTAGGTCTGTTTGGTGGGGGATCTGGGTTTCTGAAAAACAACTCAAGGACATATGTTAATATGTTATCTTAAATTTCTACAGGAAATAAAGCATCTCTTGACTCGTTTTTGGGCTACTGTTTTAAGTTACTATTACCTTTTTGTTTATCAAATTGCTCATTTATTTCTCAGGACTAGCTAGAATTTTCCTTGAAGGAATTCAATATTTTCCTTTACTTCCATGATTGGGGGTTGCCCACAGGCCCATAAGTAGGGTCCCTACTTCATCTTAATACATGTCTCCTTCCCAGAAATCTGAAAACTTCAGAAATTAAAGATGAAATACTTCTTAAAAAGATGATGATGTTTGGAATTTTAAAAAGGATCTTGATATGTGATTTCTGCCTCCAAGGCAAGAGATTGGAAAATTCCTCCCCAGAGAAATCAATTGTCCCAAGAGAAAGACCTACAGATGTCAACTTTTAAGGTTATCCAATGAAATATCCAGGTCTCTATTTTACCACTCTGTGGGAAGGCTGCCAGTTGGTGAACAAACAAGCCCCACTGACACACAGTTTATAGACGGTTTCTCTAGTGTCTTATTCTTAAACATGAATAGATACCCAAAGGTTCCAGGCATTTGAGTATAGCCTATGGCAAGTAAGATGGAAAGCTAAACAATAATCATAATTTAAAAAGTAAACTCTGAAGAAACAAATAAAGAGAAAAAAATCAATGAAAACTACAATTAATATCCTCAGAGAGATTTTAAAAATGTTCTGAATCTCTAAATCCAAAAGGAAATAGCTGTTGAGATTAAAAATCAATTGCGTACTTTAAAATACATATATTAATAGAGGCCTGGAAGATAAAGCCCAAGAAATTTCTCCAAAAACAGAATAAAAATAACAAGGGTTAGAAAAACAGGAAAGAAAAATAATCAAATGAGAAATTAGATTCCACATCCAACTAATAAGAGAGAATGATAGAAATAACAACAAAACAATGGAAAATTAGTTATCAATGAAATGACATGATAATTCATGACTCAATAATAATTTCCCCCAAAACATTATTTTTTTATTAATTATTTTCCAGGAAGCTCCCACTAAAATGAGGGAGGAAGCAAAGAAAGTGGAGGGTATAGGGCTGGGCTGGTTGGCTCATGCCAAGGCAGGTGGATTGTTTGAGCTCAGGAGTTTGAGACTAGCCTGGGCAATATGGCAAAATCCCGTCACTACCAAAAACACACAAAAATTATCCAGATGAGGTGATGCGTGCCTGTGGTCCCAGCTACTCAGGAGGCTGAGGTTGAAGGCTTGCTTGAGCCCAGAAGGCAGAGGTTGCCATGAGCCAAGATCTTGACACTGCACTCCAGCCTGGGTGACAAGCGGGACCACATCTCAAAAAAAAAGGGAAGTGGAAGGCATGGAATTCCATAAGAAGCTCTACCAAAATGACAGAGAACACATAGGAATGAAGGCAGAAAGGAAGAAAAAGGGGTGGGGGGAGAGAAGAAGCAACTGACAGATCGCTTCATGTTTATGACCATGCTGAGAGAAATATATTCGTTAAGCAGAATAGCGTCCTTCGAAGATGTTTATGTCCTGGCTAGGCATGGTGGCTCACACTTGTAATCCCAGCACTTTGAAAGGCCAAGGTAGGAGGATTGCTTAAGGCTAGGAGTTGGTGACTAGCCTGGCCAACATAGTGAGACCCCTGTCTCTAATATTAAAATTTTTAAATAGATTCTATTTCTGTATTAACAGAACCTGTGAGTGTCTTACTTTATATGGCAAAGGGAATTTGTAGATATGATTAAGTTGATGATCATAACAAGAGGGGTTTATCTAGGTGGGCACAATGTAATCAAAAGGGTCTTCATGAGAGGGAAACAGGAAGGCCAGTCTTAGAAAGGGAGATCTGATGCCAGAGAGATGTAACTGCTGAAAGGGGTCCAGAAGCCAAGGAATGTGGGTAACTGAAAGGAACTGGAAATGGATTCTCCCCATAGGCTCCAGAAGAAATACAACTTGGCTGACACCTTTTTAGCCCAGTGAGACCCATTTTGGACTTCTGACCTCTAAAAGTGTAAGATAATACATTTGTGTTATTTTAAGTCAGTAAGTTTGTGGCAATTGGTTACAGCAGCAAAAGGAAAATAATACACACCTCCAGCAGTGTATTTGAAGATGAGTTAGTGATGAGTAGTTAGAAACTAAGCAAATGGGCCAGGTGAGGTGGCTCATGCCTGTAATCCC